TTTATAAGGTTTCAGAAGTAACATATGATTACCACAATGTGGCAGCTGATCACTGTAGCGTAACAGCTGATTACTGTATGTATCAGGCCGTTACCATGAAGTAATGAAACATTACCGTGAAGTAATAAGGAGTAAGTATTAAGGTTATACTCTGGTATAATTGAATTGAATTTGCCATGTGAAAGAAAAAGTTTAACAATATTGTACTATTTTGATTACTTTTCCTTCTCCATGTTGCCATGCCTCAGTTACCACTGGCTACAACTACAATATCACCACATTCCAATACCGCTATATGATTTAATTATCTTTTACTATACTTCTTCGTCTACTGTTCTATTTTGATCAATTTAGCATGTACTGTGATGTGTGATAGGGTCAGTGTCCTCGATGGTTTCGTCAATACGGCAAAGCTGTGTGACACTGAGCATTAACTCGATAAAATTGCTGAAAATTGCCTTTTGGGATAGAAATCTGCTCAGTGGTTTTAACATTCACTGATGTGGTGTTTTACCACTGTGACATTTTGTCAATTTTGGAGGGCCTACAATGCGTGACCGCTGAATTAATTGAAATAGTTTAGTAAGTGTTCATGGAAGCGATGACCACCACTAGTATAATCTTCACACTACTATCCTACTGAAGCATTCAGTGACCGTAACTGAAAAGAACTCTTTTCACCATGCTGGCGCACAGCAAAGCTGTCACAAGATTTTGTCTTTTTTTTCTCCAAAAAAACATCAATCTTGGGTGATTTATTGAGGGGGGGGGGATGCCACCAAGGTAAACGAGCTATGGAAATGATCATAGTAGGTATCACTGTTTGACTGAGACCATACACAGATTTCGCTACCCCTGGGGTTCCCTGTGAATGTGCTCTAGTGAACCATTTTGAATTCTATAGTAACTGTAAAGCAAACAATTACTATATATCACTGATGATCACAAGGATCTTGAGTTATTACTGCAAAGAACTATTTATTACTATGCTATCAGCCACTCATAGGTCACTTGTGATTATGTCTGACATCATACCAATACCATTAGTCACTTTTGTGTAGTCTCTCAAATTAAGCTATGTGTAAGAGGTTACTTTCATATTACTACTGTCACTTCCTGGCCCAATATCCCATGGATAAAGTCACTTTCATGTGCAGCATATATCCAGTAAATAGTTAACTTTCAGGACCACCATTGTTGTTTGCCCTGTGGTAAAGGCCTGGATAGCCCGATATAAGTCGCATGTCATATGCTGATGGAAATATTTAGTAAAACATCATGCGGGCGTAATAATCTACACTTACACCTGTGATAAGGATGAGCATCAAAAACGAAGCAATGACCATAGGTCGGTTCGTCTTTCCGTGAAGCTTCTTGTAGAGAAGAACGTAGATTGCATGGATATGAAAGACCAGAAAAACACCATAGAGCAGGGACTCGAGCCACAGGGATACAAGATTGGCACGATCGAGCGCAAGGTTATCGGACATGCGGAGACACGAGGAAAGTTGCGTGCTTGAGCATTCTATAAGTAGTCAGACATCGATGACCATCCCTTCCGGCTCTGTCACACAGCCATGTCGTGAACGTACGAGACGCTCTTCATCACTCTGATGGAGTCTGATAGAAAAAAATTAGCCTGACATGAAGGGCCGGGATACCCGAGTGGTATGGCGGGTGTGTAGCTTTCTATCCCATCTACTTGGGGTAAATATGGAGTTATCCGGCCTAGTGGTGGGCATGTAGTGTAGTTATTTGTGGACCCTCGCATCACGTCGCATCAATAGTACCTGGACAGCTTCAAGGTCACAGCGGAGAACCCGGATCGTTTCAAACACAATTGTGAAGAAGCGAGACATTGTGCGACGTGATTTCGGTCTTGTTGGCCTCAAAATAGTACATCAACATTCAAACTTCGATATCGCCATTAGATAGTCATCTCTACTCATTGCTCAATCTCCTGACTGACCGAGGAGCTGATTCCTAAGGTCTCACGATATTTGAGCTGGACCGACTCACATGGGATGATATCAGCGCCATCATGGTGGGAAGTATGCCGTTGGTAGAAGTTGCGCCGGTAATCTCAAACACCGGCAACAAAAAAACGCCACAAAAACAAGTCATTCTGGGTGATATAGAGGCCCACAAGGGGGAAAAGGGTTCATCTTGCGCAGGAGCTTTGTATATGGAATATTGAGTGGCAATCCATTTACCCGGAGCGCCAACTTAACCGACCCCCGCTAACAATAAAAATGCTCGCTACATTTACTGCAGAAAAGGCTACACCTATGTTCAGAATCCCCAGAACTACCTCTCGAGCTCTGTACTGGTTTTTATAACGTCTCCTGCAGCAACTTTCATCGATTATGTACTGGAACAATGTCGTTTTAGACCACCATGTTATTTCTTACCGTTGACCCCTAAGTCAGAGTGGATCACAATGAATATTCAGTCCCGGGGGAAGTTCTACAAGTTGTGGTCTTTGAGAATGTGAATGTCTCACCGGATTAATGTTAATCGACTAATGAACTTCTCCATACCGCGGCTTTCCGACTGAACCAATCTGACATGCCTGACATTGACCTAGAAGTATCTTTACCAGTCATGTAATCCCGCGGAAGACACTCCCCGAAGGTATGAAATGTGGCAAATATAGTACCACAACGAGTACGGTATGGGAATGAACAAAACAATCGCAAGCTACGCTTGTTTGATTTCGTTGGAAACCAGTGTAACAGTTGTTTCACGACCTCAGTGCATCTTATTCTACGGCCCAATCTGATTTTGTGCATCAGCCTTAGGTATCATCACGGAGACGGAAGTTTGATGAATCCAAAACCTGTGACACGCCGCTACGGCCCAAAGCTATGTCCAACTTACTACACACTGAGCTATCCGTTTGTGAGCGCTTAGCCAGCAGCGCTCGAAGGGCTGATTATCTACTTGCTCTGGTATCCCTCGAGTATTTAAGACGTCTATGAGGCCTTTCAATATTTTGAGTTATAAACATGCGTTCATTCACGTTGTTAGCATGGCTCTTCCCACTTTTCCAGCAGCTTTCCTATCATGTTAACACGATGTACTTGTTTATTCGCTCTGATATCAAGACTATACTCTTACCAGTGGTCTGCATATTATTCTTTCTAACGGTGATTGAGAATCTGACGGCTTTCTAGACGGCATTTGCGCTCATTGTTACACCATCGATTCGCTTGCGGGGCATACTTTTCGTCTCTCTCTGGGTACTCGTCCATCTCCTCTTAATTGACATCGACAACCAGTCTTTATCGGTAGAAGAAGATAAAAATAACAAGCCATGGCGACCTTTGCCATCCGGACGGCTTTCCATATGGACCGCACGCATCATCTCCAGAGCCCTTTACCCTGCATGCATTATCTTCTCATACATTTCGGGTGGTTCATCATGCGCCATCGCCAGTGCAGGATTTACATCACTGGTGTATATATACGACCATCTGGGAGCAAACAAACACTGGCTTTGGAGGAATGTAATCAATGCCTTTGCATATACTGCATTAGAAACGGGGGCTAGCTTACTCCTAGGCATTTGCTTATGAGCTCTCTTGTGTAGCTTACAATCTGACTGATTCAAACTCCAGATATGCATGCTCTGCACTCAAAATACACTCAACTCGCCCTATTAATGTCATGGATCGTTATTGTCTCCAGCGTCCATTTACAAGACCTTCAGGACGAGATAGGAGACAGGGCTATGGGTCGCAAAACCTTTCCGATTTTGCTCGGACAGACAATAACTCGATCATCAGTCATTGGTTTTATCATCATCTGGACGATCTACTTTCCCGTCGTCTGGCGAGTTTCGGGTGTTTTCCGGTGGTATCTAAATGTTCTTGGCGGTTGTATCGCAATTCGAGTGTGGTACTTGAGGGGAAAGGCGGACGACGAGAAAAGCTACCGGCTTTATAATGTGAGCAAAACAATTATCTTATGTATTTCCACATGCTCACGGGAACAATTTCAAGGTTTGGCTGATGTCAATGCACCTGTTGGCGTTGGTCCATCGGTTCCACGACTAGGATGTCTTTATTTCATCTCATTTTCCCCCCAAAACGAGATTTGATTACAATATAGATTCGTGTCTACAGGCGGAACTGTATAGACGTGCTGGTACGGTGAAGCCAGCCATGACTCTGAAATCATCTTGCATGTTCGGCAAAAGTGCTTTCGAGCGCATCCTCCATTTGGCGCTAAAATGTATGTGCAATCGTCTCTACGCCACAGCAGGGGGCGATAGCATCAAAAAAACCAGGGTGGCCAATGAGTACTCCAATACCGTTAACAATCCCTACACGAAAGATGCCACAGATATTCATTGCTTGCACTAAACCTTCCTCGCGACTATGTCCGTGCAGGGGAAGAACACTCCTCCCTCCGCATCAAACTTACGCACCAAGGTATCCGCCACCATCTTCCGCCCCTCTTCTGTCACCACATCATCGCTGTTCTCATCCTTCAGATATGCGTACCTAAGTCCTAGACCCGTCATGGTGTTCACCATGAACACGAATGTTTCTCTAGTAAACTCCGCTTCGCTGGCAACCGATTGCCCAAACGGCCCTAACTCCGTAAGGCATAATGCTCCCATGGGAAGAAAGACGGAGAACTGGGAGTAAACGGTAAGTCCTGTGGACCGAACCATTTCGGGTAAGCTCTTAGAGAGACTTGGGAATATATGAGCTGGATAATGGTCAAGAGGAGGATATAACAACGCACTCCGTCAGGTGCTGATGCATCTCTGCATTCTTGATAAAGAGTTGATTCAAGGGATATGTCCAGGATGGTGTCATGGAATGAGACAGAGGGGAAGCTGCTCGGGCTATTTCGAGCTCCTCCTTAGCATAGAAGTGACCATCGGATTCGTTCAGGAGCAAAATTCCTCCGGACTCTAAGCAACAACAACATCGTTCAAATAGCGTAATCAGGTGCAGTAAAATCTATACGCACTAAGCACTTCCCGAATATTAGATAGAGCGTTCAACCAGCCATCCTTGCTCAAAGCGAGGATGAGAAGTTTCATGTTGACGAGGTCGAACATTCCAGTCATCTCCTCCGGAAATGGCTTCGTGACATCGTGAAGAAATAGTTGGATTCCAAGCGCATCGACAATGGGTTTCGGGGGAAACTTCTCTGCAGTCAAATCACAGGCGTAGAGCTTGACTGGATTGGACGGAGAGGATATTCGCGGTTTTATCTCGGGAATAGTCGCAAAATCTCGGGACCAAACAAGAGTACCGGCCGCTGCATCCAGGACGGTAGAGATAGACGATGGATCTACAACGTCGGGTACAATAGACGTGTCGCGATTCAGAAACTTCTTGAACATAGCATGTTGTCTCTCGAGGCTAAAAGAGTAACGTTATTGCACATTTCAGTTAATGTGTTAGTCACTGTACAGGTGCGAATGGCACGGGTCACTTACCGAACTTGCTCGTCTGCGTCATGTGTGAGCACGTAAGTGTTTTCCTGATTCATTCTGAATATCCTAGTCGAGAGAGACTGTAATGGCCAAATCGTTTAGTATGAATGCATACAGCTGAAAGGTGGACTAGAATTCTGACATTGAGGGTGTATGTCTGAGCTGGCAGAGAAATGAAGCAGTGGATGGAATGTCAGCCGAAGTGAGGTCTACGCTGGCAGGAACACTATGTAGAGGCGGAAACGTCCGGCATAATGCATTCGTCAGTACTAAGCTCTCAAAATAGTGTTCATAGATCCCGTTTGATAGCTTAAGGAAACTCTCAAATGATGGCGCCTAAAACTGTGTACCGAATATATTGGAGACGCTGTGCACCGCCCTACGGGGAAATCATCATTGACACGAGTGGGGGAGTAAGCGAAATTCCTTCTAATCACCACAGATACAGATAAGTCATGTAAGCTCGGAAGGTCCAAGGACGGCTTTCGCGGAGATTAATTTGCAGAGCACATGAACAGACTTAGGAAGGTTTCAAGCTTCATTGAATTCTGATTCGAAGGCGCATCCTGAGTCAATGCAACCATATAAGGGATATCAAAAAAGGCTCCATACCCACAGACCCAGTAAGACTTACGAAGCATATATCGGACACACCACTGCTCCTCTAAGAAAAGCCGGGCTTCTACTATGCGAGGGAAGCACCGATGCTTTGGACACAAACTCATCATTGATACAAAACAGAATGTGCCTGAGCATGAGGAAACAGGTCTCAGTGAGTGACGGTAAATAAACTATTTTAGTAGTTGGATCATCGCGTCTTACTCCAGGTCCGGGCTCGCCGATAAGATTCAATTCTTGGAGCAATTACCGGTGATTGTTTGTTGCTCCAACGCCGCAAGATCCTTGTCAAAAGCTCTGGCTCCCGATCGCGCCGCCCACGATTTCTGCCTTCGGGAAACAGCCGCTCTACGCGCACATCTGTGCGTCTCCGCAGAGGTGTCAGAATCAGGCATGTACTTAGGCACATGTTCAACGTCTACATCCGCCAGAGGCCTCGTACCATTGCTTTTCAATTTTATGTCTTGACGGCCACCACTGATTGATATGGCATATCAATCATTTTTCGATTTTCTACATAAAGAATATGTGCTATGATCCTGTTCCTTTCAGATCACAGGCGGCGCACGATTGTCAGCGCTCAAGTAATCTGGCGAACACCAGTCTCAGCCACGGTACCCGACGTCAGGCGTCACTTACCGGGTAGATTCGTCAATCATCTAAGCAACTCGAAGGAAGTTAAAGACGGACAGAACGGTGCTGAACTTAACATCACGATGTCGAATCGCCTCACCATTCTGTTCGGTGTTTTCATAGGACTGCCCTTCCTCACGTTTTGCTATCTACGCGTGCTTTTCCGTTCAAGATTGCATTATCCGCCAGGACCTCCAGGTTAGTGCGTATACGAACCAATGTATACTATCATCCTACATATATCCTACAGGACTACCTATTCTCGGCAACCTATTTGAATTTCCCTCGTCTCAGTGGTGGTTGAAATTTTCGCAGTGGGCTGATAGATATGGTAGGTCTTGCATACAGAATTTTAAAACAGATCTCACTTAAGACACATGTATCAGGTGCTTTGGTCCATCTTCGCGTTCTTGGGCGTCACATACTGGTCGTCAATGACCATGTCATCGCTCAAGATCTGTTGGACTCATCAATTCACGCAGATAGACCACGTTTCACAATGGCTGGAGAGCTGTATGTTTACCAGCTTTATTCGTGAAACCTGAATCACATTGTTAATTACGGTCAACACTTGTAGCATGGGATTCGATCCCTCCATTGCCTTCATTGGCTATGGAGAGCGATGGAGAACATATCGTCGAATCGGCCACCCTGTGATGTCAAAACACGCTGTAACGAAATACTTTACGATGCAGGAGGAGGAAGCAATCCGTCTCCTTCGAGCTCTATTCACGTCCCCTGAAAGGTACCGGAGAGAGGTTCGTTTGTATGTATCGTTTTCACAAATTCCTAATTCAAAGCTGAAATTTGCGTGTATTCTAACTGACGTGTCTAGCAGTGTAGGCAGAACAATCATGCATGCCATGTATGGTATTGAATGTGAGTCGCCGGAGGACACAGTACGTTCCACTTTACCTGTGGTACGATTCCTCGCGCCTGAGCTATACTCCCTTCCAGTATATTGTTGTCGCTGAAGCAACCCTCGAGAACATTACCCATGCGGTTGTTCCGGGCTCCTTCATGGTCGATGTCATTCCCTACAGTGTGTTCTTCTGTCGATTTGTCCATAGAGGAACACTTTTAATGGAGCTAATATAGTGAAGTACTTACCATATATGGGACTTCGCTTCCAAAAGAAGGCTATGGAGGCTCAGAGGCAAATGAAGCTCATGGTTGATAGACCTTATCGCCAAGTTTTGAGGGAACGGGTGCGTCCTCCGTCATCTCATGGATAGCAGTAAAGCTAAACTATCGCACTCGATGCTTCAACAGACTGCAGGAGCTGCAAAGCACTCATTCGTCTCTGCGCTGCTGGATAGCGAAATCAAATTACCAGATTCAGCTGTTGGTGAAGAGGACGACGTGGTCTCTTGGGCGGCAGCCACTATGTATGGAGGTACGTATACACGTCATATGTCTGAGGGTAAAACTCACCGTACATTAAGCTGATGGAGAGACCACGCAGGCGACATTACTCAACTTTATACTAGCCATGACGCTGAATAGGCATGTTCTAAGAAAAGCGCAAGAAGAAGTGGATACAGTGGTGAGTGTTATGAGTAATGTTTTTTTCTAATCATTTTTGACGAATATCGCCAGGTCGGGAGGCACAGGGCTCCCAGCTTTTTGGACAAGGATAGTCTACCATATATCAACGCCTTGATCAAGGAGGTGATTCGGTGGCGAGTACCGTTGCCTTTAGGTGAGTTTTATGGACTTTTAATAGTACTGTACTTTTTCGCGCACAAGTTCACGCCACCGCCCCTCGGCCGTTGCCGAAATGACATAATCCGTTCGTGTCCCAGTTCGCAAGGACACCGGGACAAGGGACAATGTTCGTGAACATCAACGCTTTTTCAGGGATACCACCCATCATAACCTCTCATTAGCCATCTATGCTCTGAATCTGGGAGGGGGAGCTCACCCAGTAGCAAAATCCAGCTCAAAGTGTCTCTTGGGGCCCTTCCTGAGGTCAATTTAGGAGCCAGAAATATATTCACATTTTTGTCATATTTGCGTCAAATTTTGGTTTGTCCCATTTACAAGTTCAGTGCACATCAATGGGGTGGGACTGTCCCGTGGCACAAGTTCGTTCGCGGCTCCCATGGGACACGGGACACGAACTTGTGCGCGAAAAACTACAGTATCCCATTAACGTTCAGCACATATTTGAAGGCGTACCACATCGCTGCAGACAGGACACCCAGTATAACGGTACTTTCTCATTTTTCGAGGACGCCATATTGATGTCTAATCAGCATCGAAGGCTTTCTCATACGTGAAGGAACGATCATCATACCCAATCTATGGACCATCAGCCACGACAAAAATCTCTACGATAGTCCAAATGCATTTCTCCCTGAAAGGTTTATCGGGAAGGACTCACTGGATCCTGATTATGCCTTTGGATTTGGTCCACGGTAAGTGATTCAGACATATAGCTCACAACTTACGTTGCTTACCAGTACGTTGTCAGAACATGCATTGGTAAAAACTTCGCCGAAAGCCAACTGTTCATTTTTAGCGCATGTATAATCTGGGCATTTGACATCTCTAAGGATGTTAACGAATTCGGAGACGAAATCGATCCTCAAATTGGGTATACCACTGGGTTCGTTAGGTGTGTAATCAATTTCCCCCGAAACGGAGTATGACATGCTGAGCGATATGCTCCTTAGTCAACCAAGCCCTTTTGCGTGCAGGATTGTTCCCAGAGACCAGCACGTCAAAGATGTCCTTTGCTTATAGGTCTAAAGAAGTAGGGTGGTATATTCGTCATGTCTCCAAATATATTACCTTTGCTTGGTCGTCGGTACAGACAATTGCATTTTCCCTTGTGCTGTATCGAGTGCATAGTTTGATAGCGTTCAATAAATTCGGGGCAGAGCAGGTGCATACTTGGTGACTTCACGTTAGGTATGTAAGTGTATATCGGAGCTTCCTGTCGAGCATCGTAATTGTGTTGCCCTCGTGTGCATGTGGCATTGATGTGGCACCACTCTCACAGACTTGTGTTTCGCATACTCACGAGTCACGACCATGCTCCTCGGCCGTGCCCGTCAAACGACGCAACCAGGTGATAATGAGAGACAACAAGCAGTGCTCCGGCTATGATTTCTGGCCGTTTCCCGTAGGTATCTACCATGTCCTTGTGGTCGTCGCTGGATTTGTTCCTGCGATTCCTTCAACTTCGACGTATAACGAACTCAAGCAAGGTACGTTCCTCGCTCTCTCTCAGTATGAGATATACTGATGAAGTAATAGTTTTGCTAGGAACCCGTCATGGGGTCTGGGCGGAATGCCATACAGGTCGGCGACATGCGCTCCCTTGTAGAGAAATATACCTCCAACTTCCCAACCCGCCGCGCTCTTTCATCCGAGCCAACACCTCCACTTTCGTCGCCCGAGCCTGTTTTGAATACCATTCTGCTTGTCGGAAGTCGAGGCGGAATTGGTGCTAATCTTCTAGCACAACTCTTGCAATCGGCGCAAGTCCGACGAGTTTATACGCTGAATCGGCCTCGCACAGACGGAAAGACAGATCAAAAGAGACAGGCGGACGAGTTTGGTGCACAGGGCTTAGACCATTCACTGGCATACTCGGAGAAGTTGGTGCTGTTGGAAGGAGATACAGCACGTCTAACTCTGGGATTACTGGATACTGTCTTCGGTGAAGTACGCATTCTTTCCCATCCCGACTGCATATCAGCCAATTACTCGTTGGCGATCAATCAGGTCTCCAGTAGCCTCACATCAATCATCATCAATGGTTGGCGCGTAGAGTTCGTGCCTCCGCTATACGTCTTCGAACCTCTCGTCGCAGGAGTCCGAAACCTCATAGACATATGCCTGAGATCGCCCCATCAGCGTGTGCCACATCTTCTCTTCTGTTCCTCGCTCGCAGTCACAACAGGTGATCAATTTCGGGCTTTCACTTTTGAGAACGTGTGCTTGACCTCCTGACGGACGGCGCTGACAAAACACCAAACTCCAGGCATAACACAGCCGACGCCTCTACCGGAAACATTTATTTCAGATCCAACTTCAATCGTCGGTGAAGGATATAGAGAATCCAAATGGGTCGTGGAGTCGATCATCGAAAAGGCCTTGCAGCAGACGGCACTCAATGCGACTGTAGTTCGTATAGGTCAAGTTTGTGGAAGTGTCAATGGTTTGTGGAAGACGCACGAGTGGTTCCCCATGATAGTGAAGTCGAGCCAGCATCTTGGATGTCTACCTACGGATGACCGCGTACGCCACTCCATTTAGCATCTGATTTTCTGCTGTTCGTTCGTACTTGGTTGCGCTGATGACCTGTTCTTCCGACAGGTTCTTACGTGGATCCCTGCAGACATAGCCGCAGCAGCCATCATCGACCTCCTCGGGACAACTCTACCCCTCGCACACATCGCCCATCCCAACCCCGTCTCTGGGGCACTCATCATGGACGCCATAGCCACAAGACTTTCACTTGTCACTGTTTCTCGGTCTGAATGGTTAGAGAGACTCGAAGCCAGCATACCGGCTACGCGTACAAAAGAAGAAAGGAAAAGAAATCCAGCTGTACGTCTTCTTTCGATGATGCGTGGGATTATGTTCGAGATCCCAGTGTCGATTGAAGGTAAGGGGAAGGGGTTTGGTGCATTCAATATGCCGATTGTGGCGGTTGATAACACGAAGAAGGCTTCGAGAGTAATGGGGGAGGCGACGCCTCTGACACAGGATAATGCAACGAGGTGGATTGAGAAGTGGCAGGACGTGGGTTTTCTCGATAAAGAGCCTGAGTCTGCAGTCGACATTCGTATTGCGCGCTTATGAATGGTCATTCCTTCGGGTTACTTTCGCATCTTGGCATGGCGTGCCCCGGATCCCCTCGAAAATATTCAAATCTGCAACTTTCGGAAGGGCGGTTTAGAGCAAGTTTAGAGGGCGGCTTTGCTGCACATTTTGTTGCGTTTATGACTCGTCGACTATTGTCACTGAGAGAGGCATCAAACAGTAGAACTCTCTTCAATTCAGTGGAGGAATGCGTGATTACTTCGAGTTTGTTTTGGACGAGACACGATTGAGTGGTTGTTTTGCAGGTATAATTGGTGAGCAGACGCCGAAAATCAAAAGAGACAGTTGTGAAGCGATAATTTGATGCATAGAACATAGGCGGCAAGTAAGCATCACGGAAACGATGAGTATCTGTCGCAACTAACCGTGGAGCAATGGTATGCAGACGGACAGCGCAAGAAACAATCCTAATATGAGGTCGCAAATATTTTGCTTTATATAGAGAACTATCGGAGCTGTATATAGCTCGAGTGCTCCGGGATCTTCAACATGCAAACTGCACATAAAGAGGCCCTATGATCGTTGGGACAACGCGGACCTCAAACTCCGTGCATGCTTCGTTCCAATAGACAAGATGACGCTGACCGCTCATGTCCAGTGAATAAAATCTTGGAGGTACCCGGTCGAAGTCTAACCATGATCGCATGAGCAGAGAGCCTGAAAATCATCCCGGCAGGATATCACAAGGAGTCAGTTTATCAAGAGGTAGGCAGTTGGACACACAAAACCGAACACAAAAAAACTTACTTATACTTCACCACCCAGTGAATTCAGTCGTGTTTCCCAACCCACCGTTAGAGGATATGACCTCAGCCTGAGTCACGTCGTGGTTCACGGCGACGCTCTGTATGTCCTTCCAATCCCTGACCATACCTCCAAAACAAACCCTCTTCTTTCGATCCCACGTATTCTCCTGAATCCCGAGGTATATTTTCCCGCCCCAGAGCCGTTCTTCGATTGTCAACGCATTTTGTTGACGTTGCATCTTGTTGTGGTCTAGTGTTATCCGATTGAGCTCCAGCGCTGGGGTTATTTTGTCTGGATGTAGTTCATCGAGGAAGATTTGTAGGACACTGCTTAGGAGGATGTTCAGAACATAAAAACGCAGACGAAGACGGAACTCCTCTGGATACTCTACGTACAGATCGTATTAGCTTGTGTGCTGTCGTAAAAGGACGAATCGAAACGCAGGTTTCACTCACGATCGGGAGCACCCTCCAAAGCAGTTATCATATCCTTGTCCAGACATAACACCCTAACACTACTAAAGACGCCCACAGGCTTCTCCACGCACTCCGTCTTCACTGCGCCAATCCTCTTCAATAAACAGAACCCGTACCTCTTAGGCCCAGTAGCGAAATTCTCAAGTGCACGCTTAAACTTCGATGAGACGATGTAGACTCCCGCCTCTTCTAGAAGATAAGCATAAACATTGACCGCCATCGTTTCGTCGTTCCTGAGGAGCCAGATAATGCGATTCCAGATCTGAGCCAAGGAAGGACAGGATATCGCTTCGGTGAAGAAGGGACGTCGGGAGAGGGAGTCGTGTGCATAAACGGGTATGAAGGAGAAGTCCTGGTAGCCGTAGGGGAATTGGAAAAGAACACGAGAGAAGTTGTATATGAGATTTCGGTGCATGATCAGATGAGATGGTGGGCGAAGAATCAAGACTTGGCGTCATAGAGAGAGAATGCTTTGGACTTTTATATGCAGGACTATGGAGCGACAACGTTCTAAGGGAACAAAGACGTTCGGGATGACCCGAGTGATAGATACGTGTTCAGACACAAGATGAACAAAGGGCTGAGGCCCGCACAGCACGGAAATAAAGATAGATGAACAGCTCACTGAAGCCATGATAGGCATGTTCATGGCCAGTCAGGAGTCCGTGGCTACTCTCCAAGGTCCTTGAAGCACGGCACTGTGCTACAATGATAAGTTGCCAGTGCGCAAAACTCTTGACATAGACTAGCGACTTTCATGCTCCCGAATCATTCGGATACATACAGGACTCGGAGTCCAGAGCATAGATGATACGACAATTGAAGCTTCATTGACATACCTGCTATACAAACGAAGAAAATGAGCAGAAATAAGGGACTAAACCCACTTGCTTTTTTGGGTCGTCGAATATTGTGCGATACGCCCATTAGAGGTGCTTTCTATGGTCGTCGAAGGTGCTAAATAAGTACTAGGGCTGGTCCTGTACCGTTGACTGCTGCACAACCATCATACTTCTCGATACCTGTCTCTCTTCGTCCAACATAGGAGGGTGACTATTCTTGGAACAGGCGTCTTCGCCGTCCTCTGTGAGATCTCGATTCAGATTCCTCGAATTTACATCCCATTGAGACCAGGTATTCCGAGGCACAGAGACGAGAAGATATTCATCGGAGGAAGTTCCGAGGCAGGGGATGGAAATTGGACGAAAAGGAAGGAAGGAAGGAAGTACATACATAAGGTAGGGTTAGGGGTAGAGCTCTTTGACATCTGGCGTACTCTCACGCCTCTGATCGATCGTGTTCTCTCCACCTTCGTACAGTGAGCAACAGTCCACGCTCTGTTCTTCAGTCTTGCTGCTAACCCGCAACTGTCATGAATTGTTTAAAGCGAGCATATCGGTCGGCAGCTCTGGCATGTCTTCCTCGTCAGCGCCATGCTCGACGTCATTCACATTCTCTCGCGCGCCACCGGAGCTCCTCGCGGAGTTCTTCCTCTGGTCTGTTCAAGGTGGCCCCGCAAAACCTCTAATCAATGAGGCACCCATGAATCTAGCTTCAGTTTCTCGTCAATGGCGAGCCGTCGCACTTTGCACCCCAGATCTTTGGACGCACCTCTCCCTGACCGTCGCGCCTGAAAGAAGGACTGATGATGGGCTCACGAACTGGTTACCTCTTCTCACGCTATGGCTAGATCGGTCACAATCCCTTCCATTGTCCTACACCCTTCAGTTTAAATCGTCTCAGAATTGGTCAGAGCGCGATATGTGGGCTATTGTCACAGTTTTTCGCCCACTTATCGATGCTCTTCTGCTGCAATCCCAGCGTTGGAAGAACGTCGGAATTCACACGCCCAACGTCGACTCTCACCCTTCACTTTACCTCGATATCAAAGGCCTGAATCTCCCACACTTAGAATTCCTCGCTCTTTCCGGCACCGTTGCCGACGATGTCGAACTCTCCCTCACTTCCGAAACCGCACCACACCTGACCTCCGTCGCCCTCCCCGCCCTCTCTCTTCAAAACTCTTCACTCCCCTGGTCCCAATTAACAACCCTCTACATCAAAGACGACAATCCGAGCCCATTCCACATCTACTCTATCGTCGACGTCCTATCGCGCTGCTTTCACCTCCAAAAGCTCCACATCCAGACCCACATCGATTTCGGGAAAACTATTGGCCTCTCCTTCACCATTCCTCCCCCACTCACACTTCCCTATCTCTCCCATCTTCGTCTCGGCGTCGAAATGGAAATGATAATGGAACGTCTTCTACCCGCACTCGATTGCCCGGCACTCACCACTCTTTCGTTCTATGGTTGCCCGAACGCCACTTCCTCTCCTAGCATCGCAACATTCGTCGAGCGTCATTTTCCACAGTATCGGTCTGCCACGCTCCCACTGGCACCGCAGAGGCCTGAAATCGAGACCGTCGAAATAGGGTTCGAAGGGCTTCATCGCGACCCGACGCTGTTCATCAGGTTCTGGAGGATGTTCAGCCCTGGCGTGAAACGCATAGGGATGCACCTGGACGAGTCGAACGCTATGTTTCTCATGATGTTATATGAGACGTGCAAAGTGATGTGGCCGAGGGCGGATGGGTTCGGGCTACGGATTACGACCTCGGGCCCTGCCTTGGAGGAGGTGGTATTGTCGATGGAGGCAGGGTATATGTGCCTTCACCCGGATATTCTTCCGAAGACGTTGAATCACCTCACGCTTTTGCTCGACGGTGACAGGTGTGGGTATGGTCCAGACGGGGGTGCGGCTATTTACGACGAGGACGAGAGGTCTAACGGGTCGGGGCCGTTCTTCCCTTGTGCGCAACTGAAAAGGATTCATGTTCGGATGATTGAGAACGATCAGGCACCGTCACCTATCAATGTGTTACTCGTTCTTGATGTGGTCAAGGAAACCGTTAGGTACATCCTCAGGGACTTCGTGAGGAGAGGCTTGGAGTTGTCGTTTGAACGCACTGACAAGTGTTGTTTATTCGCGTGATTCGGACGGTCAATGATGTCTTAAAAACTTGGGCTCCATGTATTTCTACTGTAATTGTTCGGTTTCAGGCTCGTATGATTTTCTAGCCCTTCTTGTTATCTGTATTCCTGTGTATGTTTGTAAAATTCGTGTCGCTCTGTACTTCTTGATGGGGGTTTCAGCAGTTTTCGGCGTGTTTTCCTTCTCTGTGTACATCCTTTGTTTTGTGTTGTACTATATAGGACTCCTGTGCCCCCGTTGAACCGGTTTTTTTCTCGCTCGGAGGTGTAAGGTCACACCTTCTCAGTCCAGCATTCCCTTCAACCTCTCCGTCAATTGTGGGTTATGTAATCGCTCTGGTAGCGTGGGAATGAATATGTAGCGACCGAGCTGCGATAAATTCAAGCTTTCAGCGCGCGCCCTACCACCTGGCTCAACGAACACCCTCCCTCCACTTGAGCGTCCTCACATCACCGCGAGATGAACGTATCACGAGGAGAGACACTTGGGTTCACCTTTACTGGACTCTAACCTTTCTGAATCCAAGCCGGCGACTCGGACTCCTCGTATCCTCCCGTCTCGAACTTTACTTGCGACTCTCGTTGACTGTTGCAGAAAAGGCTCATCACGATCTATCAAACATATTATGACCTCTTACAAAACCATCGTAGTTATCGGGCTCTCCCACCACTCGATAATAGACCGTATCTACAACCGTTTAAAACGACTTTAAAACGGTGATCGGACCAATCGTCGAGTCCCGTTGGGCTCTAGCGAGGTCAAAAAATTCTTCGCAGATACGGTCTAATGTGTCCTCTTTGTCTACACACTGGCATTCATGGGACGTCAACCGTCCTCGTGAACCCGCAATGACGTACTCTATACCAAGAAACGACGGATTCCTGACCTGAGTCATCGGCAGCACAACCTTATCATAGCATGTCATGAGACTGAAGCTCTCTTGAAGAGTTCGTGAGTAGAAATTGCGACTTCTACGCCGAGGCTTCGCCGTGCACGGACCAGTATATTCCCTTCACTAGTGCGTTACTCTGTACATGTTGTCCCCCTTTTTCCTTCTACCATCATGGTCTCATCTACAGAAGACTCCGGCTCTACTACAACAAGCATCATCTTCCACCAGGAGCAAGACATCGGCGAAGCTCATGGGCGTCATGAACTCGAGTCGTCTCGTCCACCACGACGAGCGCTTTTCGGAAAAGAAAACCCTACGTCTTCCTCCCCTTTAGATCCCCATCCACCCCTTCCTGAATCCTACGAACTCTCAACATCACCTCCACCAGCTGCACACATATTATCGCGGAACGTTCTCGAAGCTGGTATCGGCTCAGAGGGCATAACTTCTAGGCAGGCTGGGAGACCGAGCGGGGATGAGTCGCCGGAGATGGAGGAGCAGGGTAGACCGAGTGAGAAGCAGTCGTCGAAATACAGGTGGTATGCTAGGTTGCACTTCGCTGCGATCTGTTGGTGTTTCTTCTTGCAAGGTTGGAACGATGGAACGGCAGGGCCATTGCTTCCAAGGGTGCAGTCTGTGTATCACGTACGTCGTGCTTTCCCGATCGTCTGACAGCTTCGAAGGGGCTGATAGCCACACGCGCTGGTATGTTGTCGCTGTAGATTGGTTTCGCCATCGTCTCTCTCATTTTCGTGTCGACCGCTATTGTGAGTGCCCTACGATACTTCTTATCCTCGGTATATATTGCGCGCGGAGCACCCTTTGACTTGAACACCATGTCACAGGGGTTCCTCGCTGGCGCCGCTCTGAACGTTCATCTCGATAGTAAATTCGGTTTTGGGAAGGTACGATCCATTTACTCCTTCCTCACTTGTACAATTCCGATATTTCTATATCATAAACTCCGTTTCCTATAGGTCATGGTCTTCGGTTCGTCTCATGACCACCCTTATGCTTGACTCTGACTAACGCAGGTACCTTTCCTCCAGGCTCTTTGTTTCAAACTGTCTGCTACGCTATGATGATTCCAGAAGGCCCCTTCGCTGTGCGTGTCGTGGCATATGGTGTTGGAGGATTTGGAGGCGCATTACAGGTAAGCTTCAACATCTTTCACACATCCTTCTCTTCTGAGAACTGTGGATAACCGTTAAATAGCTAGCGGGTGGTAATACCTTTGTCGGCAACTCTAATAAACACATAGAACGGAAGCTCGGAGTTATGCATGCTCTTTACGGTTCGTCTTTCCTTCCTCTCAGCACCTCTATCGTCTCTGTTGGATGCTCCTGGTGATCCTCGTGCCGCATCTCAATGAGAACTCAATTTGAATGTATGGTGTTGCAGGTCTCGGCGCATTCGCAGCACCACTTGCGGCTACCCACTTCTCGCAGGTGTATCACTGGACGTTCCACTTCATCATTTCGCTTGGGATAGCGGTGACCAACACGGTCGTCCTCGCGCTTGTGTTCAAAGGCCGGACGCTAGACGGTGAGTTCTGTTTGGGCTCTCGGAACGAAGTCTTACATTCCTCTGATCACATTTCTGATTCCCCTCGGGATGCACCCGTACTCCAGAATGTATGGCCGAGGAAGGCCACCCAGCAAGCGAGGTTAACTCCGAGCGCGAGAGTGGCAAGTACAGGCAGATACTCAGTATGAAGGTCGTTCACGCGCTTGCGATCTTTACACTCGTATATGTCGGTACCGAGGTTACGCTTGGGGGTAAGTCCTCGTCTGCCACCTTTCTGCGTCCCCTTACCCTAATGGACTCCTAGGCTGGATCGTCACCTACATTATCCAAGAAAGGTCAGGTGGCGCGAGCTCGGGGTATATCTCTTCTGGATTTTTTGGCGGTAAGCATGCGACGAACTTTGTTCTTCGTAGTTGAACTCTTGCCTAGACTGAGAGTTCGTGTAGGAATCACTGCCGGGCGACTAATTCTCCTATGGCTGAACAAGAAGATCGGCGAGCGCACAGCTCTTTTCTTATACGCTATCCTTTGTATTGGGTACGTATCTTCTGCTCCTTCTGTTATAATGCGACCCTTCTTTTTGTATCATCGCGACTTGCACTACCCTTATGCTGCTAGCCATGTTGCATACAACTCACCATTATTGACTTCAATACAGCCTCGAAATCACCGTCTGGATCGTACCCAGCCTCATCGAAAATGCTGTTGCGATTTCGTTCGTTGGTGTCCTCATGGGCCCAATGTACCCCATCCTCGTCAACCAGGCAAAGGGAGTCATTCCGCGCTGGCTACTCAATGGCTCGATCGGCTGGATTGCGGCTGTCGGTCAGTCTGGAAGTGCTATCATACCGTTGGTCACGGGTGTGTTGTCTGCGAAGTTTGGGATTAAGAGTTTGCAGCCGCTGTGAGTCTCTTTATTTTGTGCTTTCGTTGCCTGCGGGGATTGATTTTTTGTTCGGCTACCAAAGAGTTGTTGCGATGATGGGCGTTCTGGTTGGGATATGGATGCTCATTCCCAGGGCGCATAGGCGGGCGGATTGAGCGGGTTCATTGGGGTTCTATTGGCTGCTACGTTTGCCACGCGACGCGTAGTTACACAAAATACACCGTCCTGACTTATTACAGTCGTACAAGACTACAAGTAGAGCTTCAAGTTCACGGTGCAGTTATGTATTGATCTCTACAACTCCGTGAGTTGTGCTCGACTCGGACCCCTATGACCGGGAAGAGTATGATGTGGCAGTTGACCTTGATACTGCTTCCATACCAAAACATATAGATGCTTTAGTATCAATCTCGATCTTTAAGGAGTTGACGTTTGGTTATGTTTAGCGTAGTGCCACCGTGTGGCGTAAAGCAGCTTTCCTTCTTGCGTCGTCAATGCGTCGTTGTGGGGTTGGTTGAAATGACGTCAGGCTTCGGCGGAAGACAACAGCCACTTCAAAGCACAGCGCCACACTCGTTCCTATAACTTAAGACCCAACTTCCATCCCTCTCGTCGCCCACTTTCCCCCTTCCTACCACCTTGATCTCTAGCTCGTCCCGAAACATAGAACAATCCGTTATTGGACTTTTACGATATGTCTTCCGACAAGAAATCACCATCGCGACCACCATCCTACTCTGGCTCTTCCAACACCAACGATCCATTCGACTCCAAATCCCAGTCCTCGTCCAAATCATCGAAACTCTCACCGGAAGCCGACCGTCCCAAAGTAAATAGGTCAGGCACAGGCAAACGGGCGTTCTCAGCCTACGCACAGACATGGATCGGGATGACGCCTGTGTGGTTGATGGGCGAGGCGTTGATCCCTGGCGTGAAGGTGGGGACGACGTTTAAAGGCGGTGCGAGGAAGCTGTTAGCTAGTGGAGAGGAGGTATTGGAAATGATTGGGGCGTCGAAGTACATGTTTTCTTCATTCGTCACTTTGTGCTTGGTGGGATAGGGGCAAGTCTCTAACGCTTTGATTCGACATGGTTAGGGACGATGTGATCGTTGTTCTAGATAGACATTTTGCTGGTGCGGGGACGAAGCTCGCGAGTAAGGCAAAGAAGTTGGACGGGACTTCCGACGGTACCTCGACACCCACCAAGGCTGGTAAAGACGGAACGAGTACACCAGGCTCCAATGCTGCCTTCGAAGAGCAGGCTCGTAAGGCTGCGCAGGTCATCCGTGCTGCTGGGTACGCCTATCTCTCCGTGACATCCACCAGTCAATCGTGAAATGAAGCTATTAGTAACCTGTTTTGATGTATCCAGTGAACATGCGATCGTTGCCGTATCGTCATCTTTTGACCGTGCACAGGCCGAGCTTACCACAAGTTCGCCCGGGATCAAGAAGATCGTGAAGAAGCACGGAAAAGACGTCGTTATTCTCGTTGACAAAGGTCTCAAGGTACGCTGACTCGCCGAGCTGCCTCCTTCTCTGCCATAGCTCTCGAATACAAAAGTGACCAACACTGACGCTCTGCCCTCGTCTGATCTCCCTGCTCTCCCCACCTTCACCGCTAATTCCCTCCATATCTACAGAACCCAATAGTCGTAACCGGCGTCTCCAGATTCGCCAAATCAAAAGGAATCCCCTACTCCGACGCCCTCCTCCGCCTTGCCTCCCTCGGTCTCTCCAAAATCATAGACGCACTCCCCGACGACATCGAAGCCGAAGTCGAAGCCGAAGTCCTCGATGACGCCGCCCGACACCGCGCGGCCGAACAGTCCGGGAGTGGGAAGATAGGCGTCGAGGAGATGGACGGCGAGGAGCTGGAGAGGACGAGTTCTCCGAAAGCGAGGGAGGAGGCGGATAGGGCTAGTTTGTTGGGGAAGGAGGAGGCTGATCCGGGGAGTTCGAGTATGCCGGGTGCGATCCATCCGGGTGAGACGGCGGGTGGGGAGGATCCGTATAGGAAGATGAGGGAGAAGGAGGGGTGTTTGGTTATGTGAGTGGTTGAAAATATGTGCATGAGGGTGGCGGTGTTGGTGAGATACACGGTTACTTCATGGGGTATGTATATGGCTTTGGATATGGATTTTGAACCGCTTGGCTCATAGACCCCGTGTTGGCTTCCTGATGGTTTGATACCTTTGTGCGGCACACCTAGGGTTGATGCATGGTCACGATCAATATACGACGAGATATTCTGGTTATACATACTGTACGATGCGTTGAATGATGAGTGGCAATGCCAAATATTATTCCACGCGGGCATTGAATATTGACGACGAAGACAGAAGTGGTTGTCGTTCAAACTTCAGTGCAGTGAGCGCAAAGGATAGGGGTTGTGGCGCCTGAGTTGCCTGCCTTCAAGCTTCAAGTGGCGACGAATCAGGGCATCCGACGAACGGCGGTTGCCGTGTTCGTTCAAGTTCGGCTCGTTGACAAACTTGACATTTTTTCTTTCTCCCAGCTTCATCTCGAGTTTCCTCACTCAGCTTGCACTTGTGTACTACTCGGATACGTTTATGGCCGACCTCGGCTCTCGGATCTCAGCGCTCAAAGTTTCTGATTCCTCTCTTCGCCCGAAACCGTGACCTGAGGCGACCAACTTTTCCTCCAGCACATTCGTTCCTTACGCTGTCACAGTCACAATCTCTTCAGTTTCCACGGCCAGGGAACCACTATTTAGAGTGCTCTAAAGGTGTTTCTAAAGTAACTTCTATATATTATATATGGGCTCCGCCTTGGGAAGTACTAAAGAGAAACTTTGGAGACCTCCAAAGGCGACTCTATGCATTTTCTTTAGAAATGCCGTACAAACGCTGAAGATTGACTTTGGAGGACGCTAAAGGCTGTCGAGCACCTCGGGCTTGCCTTATGTGGCAACCCCGAATCTCTTTAGCACCCTCTAAAGGTAATTCAGAGAATAATCAATGGAACTCACTATAGAGCTCGCTAAAGCTTTGCTTTAGAGAGCGCTAAATTGGCATCCATATATAATATTTTGACCAATGTTTAGATTCCACTTTAGCGGGCTCTAAATAGTGGTTTCCCCGTCGTGTTCCACATCTTGGGTGCATCTGAAGTCCTTCCTCATGGTATCTGAAGCTGCGTCATCTACTCCTTTTTTTAAACTAGGTTGTGCCTCGGAAGAGCTCTCCTTCCGTGCTTTGTTCATGTCCACAGTTCTTGTGGCGCTTCATGGGAGCCTATCTCAGAACTAGCCTTTCTGGGTAGAACAAATGGCTATGAAACGCCTGACCTGAATCGCGTGTTGCCTGTATTTTTGGCTTGGGGCAGTACCGTGCCTCCAGGAGCGCCTGATACTCATCAGCAAAACTGGGGACACGTCTGCGTTCGCATTGACAACCCCCTCACATCCCCACCACCATGTTCACTCCAAGCCGCGATGACTTGCTTTATATTCTCAATCATGTTTTTCTTCCACCCAAGCTGCCGCAGGAGGACGAAGGCGACGATGCCAGAGATATCCATAATATCGCGCTCGCGTCTCTGGTCCATGAAGCGGCCGTAGATTTTTTGTCGCTTGTCTCCGCAGAGTACACCGAGCGATGGTCTGCGATCATCAAAATGCTTGAACTATTCAAGCGTTACACTGAGGCGCTTAACCAAGATGATGTTACAGCCGATATGATGGGAATGGTTCAGGGAGGTGCGTAACTCATCTGCTCGACGTTGGTGCATTGGACTGATTTGTTTGTCGTACTAGATACCTTGGTAATGCACATCCGCGCTCAGAATGCGGGTTTGATCATCCGAAAGCTGGAAGATGTAGCCCGCTTCGAGGTATTCGAGGTATCTCCACCTCCGGAGGCCGTCATGAAGACTACGGGAAAGCTTATCCGCTCCTACCCTGGTCCCGCCGTCGATGTTCCGCTCGATGTGGCCACCGAGCCGTTATTTCTCAAGAATCTTGCTTCCTTTCTCGTCCAAATGGACGTCGACCAGCTAGATTCACTTCCCACGACGAAGAAGGCGGGCTCTTTCGTTACCGAGGAACGCAGTACGGCGCATCCGCGCTATATTTCTGAGCTCTTGATGGGGATTCTGCTTGGATTAGGCGAAGAAGCCGAAGTCTCTCGTATCACGAAACGTATCGCAGACGATGTTCTGTGGCAAAATGCCTTCAAGCCATGGCGTAGGTCGCCCCTGTGGCTCGTTATTCGTGTTGCCTTGCAGACGTCGGTCCCTGTGGCCAATCTATATAAAGAATTCATGATCTCGTTACAGACCAAGCTGTTATGGTTGTTCTATCGCGACGGTCTTACCACCGCCCTACTATTCTCCGCCAGAGCTAAGGTGGCATATCGGGTGCACAAACTAGGCTCTTCTGCGCCAGATACTTTGTTACAAGGGGTCGAGAATGTTGTAGATGCCCTTGAAGAACTCATGAGAGCTCGGTGGCGAACTGAACAGGGAAAACACAATAACCTTCTCTCATCACCTATACCTTGGCCGCGCTTTTCTGCCGACACGAACATCTCGCTGCTTAATTCTCGCCGCTACCTCACGGATGTGCTTTCGCGTAATGGTGCCCAGGACGGTATACCATTCGTCTTCCATCCAACTGAAGCTCCACGTCTTCATGACATCCCTGGGGGACAGTCATTCACTCCAAGTGCACTCCAGGAAGCTATCGCAAACGATTGTGTTCTAGCATTATTAGACTTCGAGCAACTCGTACAAACCAAATTGGACGCTTGGTCCTTGTCGTCTCACGATCCTGTCGCTACCTGCGAAACACTGAGCAGCTGTCTTGCGATATATGCCTACCATGCAGCGGGGCTATATCATTCTAAACCCGAAGACCTATCTATCATGTTTCTGACTATAATGGACTTATGGGTTGCAATCGACAAGCAATCCCTCGAGAATATCCCTTTACTTGCCGAATACTCGCCCGAGATCCCTGCCGACGCTCTGAACCCAATTCTTCTCCGGCAGGCAGCCTTGATTGAACGGGCTGGCCATATTGAACGATATCTGCGGGCTCGCCACAGAAATGCCAAAGGGTTTATGTCGATTTTCTCTGATCAAATGTCAGAAGATGCGTTTCCTGTTCGTTTCTTTGACCAATCAAGCCTACATCAGAACCTAAAAGCCTCTATCGTGAATGACGCTACGCTAGCACGCGAGGCTAAGAATCGAGACCTTGAAATTGCGAATGAAGTGGCACGGGATAACTTACAGAGGGCTCGCGAAATGACACATAGTCACACGGGCAAGAAAAAACAACCTATGGACTGTCTTCGCTGTGAGCTTGAGACCGTGATGCGTATCAGTGTACATGAGTGGCCGCTTCCGGAAAATGAGCCCGACGCTAAGCGAGTAGTGTTCGAGTTGTCTTGTCCGACGGTCTTTGCGATCTGGAGACACTGGACTTACGCTATCATTCGCGATTTTGGCAGGGTACATGTTCCACAGTCAGCTGCGGTCGTTTATCTGACACTGCAGCAATATAGTGCTCTTCAGAAACATCAGGCTCCGATCCCTCCCTCCAACTCTGCCTTCCGCTTGACTTTGGCATCCGAGACAAAATCCTTCCTGCAGGCTCATTACAAGACTTGCACACTTCCCGCGGACGAGTCCAAGGTTTGTGTCAAAAATGGCTTGCGTTTCCGCCTTTATGACATGACAGGCAAGGAGTGGGCCTGTGCACCCTTCACGGATTTTGATGTTTCCTGCTTTTGTACATTGCTTCTCCCATACACTGGTCCTTATCGCACTCTTCAATACGCGGTCGCTGGAACGGACCATACCGCGAACCAGATCATCTCTAGTCAAGATGACTGTCCCATTGATCTCAATATCCACGAGTACATATCATTCCTTGGTCTACGGAGTGGACCGCTATTGCAATGGCTCAACATTGTGCGGGAGATTCGCACACAGAATCTCTCCTTCCACCGAATGGAGGTCCATATTTTACTCATGCAAGCTGCATGTCAGCTGGGTCCACTTTCTGAGGATGCCTGTGAGAGAAGCTGGCATGCGGAGCTTGCTGTGCCTGCCTTCGGATCACTTCTTGTCCAAGAAATCAGACATTTGATGGAGCACGCCAAGGTTGGTTGGAGTGAGATACACACGATTCGAACCGCTGGTACGTACGTCTCCGTGTTGGCTGCATGCTTTCCGCTGACATTCGCGCACAGTATTTCTTCTCTGCAGGCTTTTGGCTTCCAATAGAGATGACACTGTCTGTAGAGCAGTGTATGTTGCTCTTCGTGTAGCACGGAGCATGACCTTACAGTGGCTACATGAACTTGGTAGTAGACTTCACTCAACAGTGGACGACCATGAGGTACAAGAGCTTCGCATTCGACTATGCGAAATCTCAATGACATGCAGGGCTACATTCGACGTCGATCCACAGCGCGATTTTCTTCACATATTATCCTCTCCAGAGGATATTTCTGCTATCCTGATTTGCTCTGTTGAACTCAACATGCACCTTACATATGGCTTTGATCAGAGCTCACCCGAGCTCGGAAGGATGCTTAGGCTTGATCACCGCTTGGCGCATAGTCTCGAACCATTCATAACCCGTCTTATCCGCAATGACTCCAGAGGCCTTGATATGACTCTGAAATCCATCTGGTCTGCATATCGACCTGGACTCGGGCAATGGCACCAGCTACTGTATCCAAACTCCCGCTGGTTTGGACTGAGGACAATCAGTTCAGACTCTCATTCCTTCCCTGATGTCAAATTCAATTTGATTACGGGAGTTTTCCTTATGAATGGACGGCCCCTTGGAAGACTCCCGAAAGAGATCACATCACATCCTGATTATATTCGACTATTTGGATCGGTAAGATGGATTACACCCGTTGTTTTGAATAGCTGTATACTGACATGGACCTTCATCTTACAGAGGGTGTTAGACATCATTCCGACAAGTACGGCAGGGATGCAGTTCTCAACACGGCATTACACTCATGGCTATCAGGTGCGGACACAATGCTACATATGTATATATACCAATTCTTAATCTCACTCTTTTCCAGATATTTTTCTCCATCCATACACCGACTGGTGTGCTCAAGATTCATGCGCAGTCAATCACAGGCGATATATTTGCCATCCTGCCTCACAGCATATTCTACGGTGATTTTCCGACACTTCTTGTGTCGGAATATGTGCATTGGCTTCACCTGTCAACCGGAGTGGTCGAGTTCCGTCCCTTAGCCAGTATCTGGGATTCGACGTCGGCAATTTGGCGTCTGGAATTTTCTCAATGCCGGTCGACGATGATCTTGACCACTGGGTCTTTGCGGGCATACCTCGTCGATGCCAACACACAGACATTCAGCACAATCGCGGAGATATTTTCACGCCTCGAGAACTCCAAGTTCATCAATATTACCTTCCGACCAGATCACGATCATCAGGAATCTGGAATAGTGGTAGATCTCCCAAGGCTTCGACTGTCATTTGCATTGAGTAGCGATGGTGACTTCGAGTCATTGAATCTGCCCGGCATGATTGTTGATAGCAATCAGTCTTTGGGCACACTGATTGGGCTTCGAAACCAGCTTATTCTTCGGGAGAAAGACCCATATGCCGCTTTGTTGCCACGATCGCGACGCGTACTGATACCTCATGGTGACATCAAGACGAGCTTGACTCCCAACGGAAACCACGTCAGCGTCGAGATTGACACCTGTACCACCTTCGAGAGACGAGTTCGTTGGTACGAGTACCGAATTGACTCAGAGATTGGCTGCCTTGTGGGCAATGTTGAATTGACTAGCCGACTTTACAAAGTCTATCTCCATGCTCACCCGCTCCCAGACCCGCTGACTGGTCAGACCGGCACTGAATGTGCTCTCAATGAACTGAAATCCGCTGCCTGCTTATCTTTCCAGCAGCTCCGGCGGTTGGATATTGATTTACTACTCAAAATCCGATCACTCACTCCGTCTAGGTCCTTTTATCCCACTGGGATGCGTGTCATGCAGAGCGTTCATTGGTCGTCAGATATCCCTTTCTTGTCTCAACACACTTCATTTCGTTCTACCTCTCAAGGCATCCTCGATTTTGCACGATCTCTGCATAGTCTATTTCCTGAGTATTCCGCTGGTGCCGGGTGGTTCGAAAGTGGCAACACATATGCAATCACTCAAGAATCTGTTTTCCTTGAGCAGCGTGCGTCACGTCGAGCACTCCTGAAAGAGTTCTCATTGAACGAAATAGATGACGTGCAATATGTCTCTCGAGACTATCCTAGCCCATCCGAGGACTTCATTGCTGCTGTCACGGCAGCAAGGCAGATTCAGCTTTATTCCGAGGGATCATACCAAGATGCCGAGTATAGTGGAATACTTCCATTTTTCGAACGGTGCCATGCTATGTCTGGTTCTGGGCGCCCTATTTCATTAACTTACACTGCAGTGTGGATAAACCCAGCCCTCGAATCCTTGTGGATAGGCCTCTACAATAGCCTCCGGAATTCCACCAGTGTTCAGTCAATCAAGTGCCACCTTTTGTTCTCACTCTCGGCCATGGCTTTTTCGTCTGAAGACAATCGCAAGCTGATTCCTGCGCTGCTTGCCTTTGCTTCTGCGCCCATATTTCGTCGCATACATCCTCCATACCACGAAAAGTACAACCTAAAGAGAGGCTTCGAACCAACTCATGATCAGCTTCGTACGCTGATTCTTTCGAAATTTAATACTTTTGAGCATAGCCCTGCGAAGAACGTTGAAGTACAATCCGGTATCAAGAAGAAGAAGGTGATTCGACGTGCACAGCAGGAGTATTATGACAACCAGCGACGCCTCCGTGCTGACATGGCGATTGAGGATTTACTGGAACAATGGCATGTACCGAACCTTCATCTCCGTTCTCTTTTGAAGACGCAGAATGGCTTTCCACATCTGAAACAATGCTCCTTCTCCGTGATTTCTTTGAGAGTGTGTCACACAATCTAGAACTCCGCAGCTATTGTTTCAAAATCGATGATGCTCTTCGTGGTCTCTACATCCCGACCACTTCCATAACTGGCCCTTGTCGATTTCTTTACAGTTCGCGCACAGGAATTTATCATGGACATTCCGCTAAAGGTATCTCATGGAGCACACTATTCTCTCGCCATTGTTCCGCCACGAAGGTCTATTCATCTGTCTACAAATCGACGCTCTCTCGAATATGGAGTTTGTCTCCTGCTGAGCATCCTGGTAATACTGACGAGACAACCTCCGTGAAGACACTCGGGTCAGAGTTTATAGACAATGAAAGGCAGCCAATTTTTCGGCTCTATGGAGAGCGTTTAGAGAGCAGCAGACAGGCATTGAGGAACCTACAACACCCTGTCCGTCGCATCAATGGCATTAATGAGCCATTGAAAAAATTCTTTCATTATATACACGACGAGTGCTTTAACACTGTGAGAGAACTCTCTAAAGAGATAGTACTGCGGCTGTCTCCTACTTCTACAACGGAGAGAATACTTTGCACGGCAGGATTCTGGCCACGTCTGCATCCAGGCATCATATTACGTTGCTTGGCCACCACGTCAGAGTGCACCCTCGATCCGAAATGGAGCGAGCTTTTATCCTACCTAGCACGATCTGTCATATATTACCAGCACTCATGTCGACTACTGGCCCTTGCTCAGGAGCCAAATCCCGAGGGTTTGTCCATGGAATTAGAGAACTGTTGCTTTGTTCAGGAAGACAACGTCAATTCTGATCCCGACTGGTTGTTGATACAGGTACGTCTGAATCTTATTAAAGAAATCGATCAATATTCATAATTATTTGACCATTCGTGTAACAGTTGGACGGCAGCTTTGTGGCTCGCCCAGTTCAAATGCGAATTTCCCGCGAGATGATATCTCCGTCATCCAAATCCAGCACGGTTCTACAATTCAACATGGGTGAAGGGAAGTCATCCGTGATAGTCCCGCTTGCAGCCACAACCCTCGCAGATTCCAAGAAACTTGTCCGCGTGGTTGTGTTGAAATCTCTCGCAGGACAGATGTTTCAAACCATGGTTGGTCGGATGTCCGGGCTTGCCAATCGTCGCATTTTTTACTTGCCATTCTCAAGACGCACCCCTCTTTCGGAACGCAATGCAACACTTATTCGTGATCTACTACAGCAATGCGCATGCACTCAAGGAGTCCTCGTGGTTCAACCAGAGCATATCCTCTCTTTTCGACTGATGTGCATGGACCAAATCCTCAATCGGTCTTGGTCCTCTCCGGGTCTTATTCAAATATTACAAGACACGCAAACATGGCTTAAAGCACATTCTCGGGACATGTTGGACGAGAGTGACGAGCTCCTTCACGTCCGATACCAACTCATCTACACATCTGGCCAGCAACAACCACTTGATGATAGCCCCGATCGCTGGATTACAATTGCACAAGTGTTTGAGCGAGTCCGAAGATGTTCGAAGGCCCTCCATTCCCGATTCCCAAATGAAGTCCAACTGTCATCGACTGTCGAAGGATCTTTTCCTTCAACCAGAATCACCGGTAGATCAGCATTCGAGGCTTGCGCCACATGTATCGCGAATGACGCATTGGATGGATTACTCGACAACATCATTCTTCCAGGGATGAGCACCAACCCAAGTATTCGCTCTGCTGCGTTTCGATTCCTCACAATATTTGACCTATCTGAAACGGAATGGACTGTCATCCAGCAACAGTTCGGCGGCTCGGTATCCTGGAAAGGACTCTTACTCTTGCGCGGTTTACTGGCTCATGGAATCCTCGAGCATATATTGCGGCTACGTTGGAGAGTTGATTATGGTCCCGACTACAGTCGTTCAATTATGGCGGTACCATACAAGGCAAAGGTCCGTTTAGATATTATCGTTGTCATCTGCAATATGGAACAAAGTATTAACCTGAAATTATAGGACGTACCAAGCCAGAGGGCCGAGTTTGGCCACCCGGACGTAGCATTGGGGTTGACTTGCTTGAGCTATTATCATGGGGGTCTAAGCCAGGAACAGCTTTCGGAGTCCATTGAGCTCCTGCTTGCACTCGACAACCCAGCTGCAGAATATGCGAAGTGGGTTCGACAGAGAGGATATAACAGAACTCCAGTCGAATTTCGGCATCACAAGGCTGTCAATTCACAGGATATGCGGCGGTTCAGGGATTCTATCGTTCCTCTCTTTGAAAGAAATCAAGCGACAATTAATTTCTTCTTGAACAAGGTGAGCGCCAATAAACACGCTTTGTAGAAAGGTTCACGTCACTGACATTCGGACAGGTTGTCTTTCCCAAACAAGGGAAGGAATATTCGCACAAGCTTGGTGTTTCAGCCTGGGATCTCGCAGAGGAAAAAGTCCATGTCACCACCGGCTTCAGCGGAACAAGCGATAGTAGCTACCTCCTGCCCACGTCCATCACCCAGAGAGACCCTGTGGAACAGGTCGGGACGAATGCGCAGGTCCTTTCCTATGTTCTACGACACGAGAACGAGCACTACATCTGTATTAGTGACGAGAATCGTCAACCGCTGGCCGCATCTGCTTTCTTGGAGGTTCTTGTACGTGAACAGCCGGAGGTCAGGGTTCTGCTCGATATTGGCGCACAGGTATATAGACAATCTACTCCCACGGAGGATGTAAGCTCACTGTTTACCTAGATGTTGGAGCTCAGGAACGAGCAGCTCATTCGGCAATGGCTCACTTTGAGACCTGACATCGCTGCAGGAGTCTTCTTTGACGATTCAGACCAGTTGGCAGTACTTAGTCAAGACGGAACAGTCGAGTCATTGCTCTCTTCGCCATTTTCACAGCAGCTGCACTTGTGTCTCGTATATCTCGACGACGCTCATACAAGAGGAACGGACCTGAAACTACCATCCCATTTCCGTGCAGCGACAACCTTAGGCCCCAAAGTGACCAAAGACCGATTAGTGCAAGGTAAAGTCTCTTGTGCATCGATTCCCCGAATACCTCTGAAGATTGCTATAGGGTGTATGAGAATGCGTAAGCTCGGTCATGGACAATCGGTCATGTTTTGCGCTCCTCCGGAGGTCGACAGACGCATCAGAGAGGTCAGCGGACTTCATCAATCCCAACCGGTCAAGATCATCGACGTCCTCCGATGGGCAATACTCGAGACCTGTGAAGACATTCTTCATCATATGCCTCATTGGGCACGACAGGGAATGGACCACTACGATCGAAAGCGCGCAGAATCAATGTACCTCACACAGGAGGGCGATCTCAATCACCTACGATCAAGTTGGGCACAGCCTGAGGCACGAGCGCTAGAGGAACTCTATGGGCAAGATGCAACGACCTCCACCAAGCATCACGACATATCCGATTTCCCTGCTCTGTCGGAGAGACTACAGCTTCTCTCCGTAGTTCCGGCCAGAACCAACCATGCAGATGAAGAACGTGAGCATGAAAGAGAAGTAGAGATGGTCCAGGAAATAGAGAGGGAACAACTGGTGGAAAGGCCAGGAGGGCTGCAACCTGCGACACATTTCCTGATTGACGACGTTCGACTGCTCGTCCAAACAGGGACTATGCCTACGAATTCTCAAGCATTCCTCCCCATCATGTCAACCGTGCGATCAACCACGACATCCGTAACGATGGGCGCATGGTCACCACAGCTCTGGGCAACTCAAGACTTCATCGTGACTACGAGAGAGTCCAGGCAGCAGACTCCTATGCTCTCCGAATACCAACGTCCACTCAACTGGATCCTCTCGTTTGGCCATGGGGCGAAAGGCAAGGGTCGTCGCGGAAAGAAGCCAACAATCGAATTTGTGGCCTTGAGCCCTTACGAGGCAAACCTTCTCATTCCTCTCATTCGATCGACCAAGTTCACACGCCTGCATCTCTACGAGCCACGAGTAATGGAGTCCATGTCGCCAATCGACAATCTGTCCTTTTACTACGTCTGTGCATCCTCGCTGCGTGGCCAAGAATGGCAACCTCCCTCGCAAAACGTGCGGCATCAACTCGCGTTGTGGTCGGGTCAGCTCTACCTCGATAGTTATGAGACGTACGTACATCTTTGTCGGATTTTAGGCCTCCAACCGGGACCAAGTGCAGGACCGGGGCGCGTGTTGATGCCAATGAACGACGACCGTTTCGTGCGTAAGGAGAATCGGGTCGGGGAGATGCGCAAGTTGTGTCTATTCGAGGAGAGTCCGGTGCCGCTGTTGAAGGAGTTATTCGCGTTACGACGGAAAGGGATGAGTTTCTTGCCTACGCATATGGGCAGGATCCTCCATGGTCGCGTGTTGTCGGAAGAGGATTTTAGTGATCTGTAATATATAGTTTCGTAAGTTATATTTCTGACACGCAAACACTATCAAAGATCTTACACTGGCACTTTCCTACTGGCAGGTCTGGTTCGGAGCTTGAGGGTGCTGTCATCCGGAGATTGATTGTGGGTTGGTGAATTTTTGTCACGAACAACTTTGCGTCTAGCTCAGTACGACGTTACGTTTGGGTTTGGAAGACTCACAATGATATAGAATATTTGATCCGAGTTTAGATATCATTTCGTGCACGTATGACATAGCGGTTTTATGCGCGAATTTTGTTCAAGGCCACATCCTTCACGAAGATCTACCGCAGGAAGATCGACTTCAGAAGTTGTTTGATTAGAGCATTCACTAACCGCTTGAGAACCCGGCGGCGCCAGAGCCCAACTTGTTCTGGATAAATGAAGACGGATGGTCAATATTTGGTTATAGATGTGCGCCAGACATGGCAAGCTTCGCATGTCTTCGACAGACAAATATTGCAAACATTTCTCGAGACGCATTGGCTCGATGTGCGATGATACATGCGTATGAGCATCTAGGCGTCAGACAGTTTTGGAAGGAGCCGGTTATAGCAGCGAAAGCATACGGCCAGGAGCATATAGGTTCTCAGGACGAGGAAGATCACGACTAACGGGCCCGGGTCTTGAAGCGACTAAGCGCACGAACACGCCCCATATGAGTTTCTCTTTCTACATGCAACCGAAGGATGTGCAGATCAAATGAAGCATCTCGGAATACCACAGTACTTATTCTTCAAATTATGGACGGTGTAAATCGCCTTCGAGTGCTCTGCTTTACATGGAGGGGCGGAGCAAAATGCTGAAAGGGCGAAAAGAACGAAAGAGGAAGCATACCTTTATTACCCAAATATACCTATTTATGGTGCACCGCAAAATCCAAAATCCCAACAATCCTGCTGTCCTGTTGGGCGATCCTCGACCTGGGAAACAAAGGACATCCGCGTCCTCGAAAGACTTTGCGGAGTTGAATTCCCGAGCCGTCAAAGTCAGAAGTTGTGAGGGTAGGTGACACTATTTGCCACTTCTGGAGTCCCAAAGTTACATAGTCCGGGACAAAGCATGGTAAGGGCCCCTTCGGCAAGTCGAGTCGAGTTGGGTTGAGTTGGGCTTCCCCGCCAATTCTCGTGGGAGCTCGAGTTGCTCTTGCCGTCGGATCACAGGCCCGTTGTCACTCTTGGACGGAGGAAGCCGAGGTGACTTCAGGAAGAGTCGTCCGTGCTTTGCGTGATTTCCCGACCATTTCCGCGCATTGTCCGTGATAGCCCACACGCACCGGCACCATCTCCGGATGGCACTAAGGTGCACTTACTGTAGATCTGAATAATACAGCAAAATGTGTGGAATAATCGAGGCTTCTCCATGATACTTGCCTCGTTCAGTTTCATTCGGTGGACAGAATTCTACAAATAAAGCACCTTCCCCATCGTTGAGCTCATCGAGGGCGGCGATGAGGGAAGATAGGCACGGTGTAGACCGGCCCCTGTTTTACCGGGTGACCCTGGACCCCATCACACACTGTCACTAAGTGACTCCGCGTGGTCACGAGGCACAACTCGATCCAACTCAACTCAACCCGACTCCAGGGTTTCCCAAACGTTACTTACATTACATTACCGCCGCGTAATGTAATCTAATAGTATTCCCTCGAAATCATGCGCGTTGAGATCCGGAAATGTATTGTAATGTATTCCCCCTGTATTGCGCCCAATTCGTAAGTAATTGTAAGTAATGGTATGAAATCTCTTGCGTGCACGTGCATCATATCTTTTTGGTTCAGCAACTCACTCGCACCAATGCTGAATGATACAAGTGCTGCAGCATTGCAAGTGATATACACATGATTTTCCCGTGTCCTTACAGTGTTGAGTCGAACGGCAGGTAGAACAGCAAAAATGTGGCGAAAAGCAGGCTACGGGCACTCATCCCCAAAAGGTGAATGTGGCGGCAATCGAACCGTCGGGGCCTATCCGGAGCTTCCACCTGACCCAAAAATGTCTTTGGTGCGTATGGATCATACAAATGAATAGTATTGAATAGTAATCATTTCGTACCTCGACTGTAATCGAAAGTAATTGTAACGAAATAGATCCTAGAAGCGCAGCCGCCGTAACTGTAAGTAATCGTAAGTAATCGTAAGTATTTCTAAGTAATACCTCGTAATTGTAATGTTTGTCCCTCCCTGCCCGACTCGACTCGACTTGCCGAAGGGGCCCTAAACTCGTGCGAAGAAGTTGGTCGGAGGAGAGGTTAGAGGAGAATTTGAAATGTTACCGGAAGTCTAGCCTCACGGCCCGATTGATGCCGACTTCATACGGAGTCGGAAAACAACCTCCGGATCCGTCGCGACGCGTGTGGATCTTCGTCTTTCCTCGGCTGCAGAAATATTCCTTGCCCTCAGAGACAGGTAATGGGTGACTTTCCGTAGCAGTCTAGGAGTGTTCCTTGACGCGCAGAAGCACAGATATGAGGGCCTCAGCCAATCAACAGTCGCTCTGAGCCTCCTTTCTGTGATCTAGGCGTCTGAAGGGGCTGCTCAATTCTGGCCGGTCCAACTGTCAAGTCAAACTCGAGCAGGTCAAACTCTGCGAAGCGATGCAGGTGGAGTCGGCAAGAGTCCCGCTACTTCGCGAACACCTCATCATCGAGTGGTTCTCACGGGGAGACGCATACTGTATAAACTGTCCAACGCAGTTTGTATTCACTAGGTAGGATAAGTCCAGGATTTTTCTTCGAGCGGACCTGTGCGTGCTCGGGTTAGACATATTTTTTACTGATTTTTACGAAGAGGGGCATGCAATACAGAATTTCTTGATGAAATTTGCACATCTGTGGCAGAATGAGCAGATCGAGAGTGGCGCAACTCGGTAAACAAGCCCATGTGCGCCACCGCGTAGAGTTTGACCAGCTTGACCTTGACCAGCTTCACTTGACAGTTTGACCTGCGAGAATTGAGCAGCCCCAAAATGTGCACAAACCCCCTACGGAAAGTCACCCAATGTCTCCCATTTGCTTCACTCATCTCTGTTGCCTAATATATCTACGACAATACTGATGTGTTACGCTCGAAGATGACTACTCAAACGAACAAACACAAGAGACGAGACGACAACGAGTCGGACTTGGAGGCTTTTAACGCTTTCGTTGTCCGCGACGCTGGGCCACCCTTCGATTCATCAAGTGCAGACCTCATCCCACGCTCTTCAGACAACGTGGATCATCGTGTCCATAAGATCATCCTTTCATTGGCCTCTTCTGTCTTCGCATCGATGTTCTCCCTCCCTACTCCACCGCCCTCCGACCCTCGAGAGCTCAAGGACGACCTACCTATCGTGTCTCGGAGAAGCATCGTGAACTAGCCCTTCCATCAGCAAGGCCGCATCTGGCTAAACCTAGCTATTTCGGTCTATTCGGTCTCCCGGGAGACATGAATAGATCCTTTGACAGCATCTATTCATCATAGACCTGCCTTTAGCTAGACATGGTTGGATTCTGGTAGACGCAGGATAGATGGCGGTAGAGCACGATAGTCCGCGAGGTTTATGTCGTGGATCATGCCATGGAGCACGATATGTTTCACTCGGACTGCTCAGTTTGGGTGGGAAATTTCATTGCATTGCAAATATACATGGTAACTACTCGAACAAACTGACTTTACGCTAATGTATGGGTGACATGAACCAATGCAAACCAACGCAAACCTCTCGAATGGACTCCATGTGTAGCGAAGTGGCTTTGTCTCGGGATCTACGAGATGTCGGCCTATGAAATCTAAATATAACAGCGCACAGGAATTAGTCACATAAATAAGCATCCCCAATATCAGAGAAGGGACTTACAAAAAGTAGGAGACAAGTGCCGAGCAAGCAACCTGTCTATCTGAAACGCAAACGAAGACGTCAGTGTAAGAAGTAAATAGGATAGGACTGATGCGGGGAAGCCTCTCACCTTGTGCGACTTAACGCCGTAACGGCCCCTCAATGACCGTTGAAAGTTGGCGGGTCACAGGGCGGGTAAGAGCAGGGTATAAGCTAAAATAAATATAGCCATGTCAGTCGGATCAGTTGTCGCAAAGGAGGGCACGACTTGGGCACGAATCGCCTGGTATGTTCTGCTACGGGATTTTCTGCAACCCCGACCCGTGAGGTTTCCGCTGGGTCCCGTCCATTGGTGTCGAGTTCCAGTCGTGTGCGAGTGCCCTGTCGATGATCCTGGTATCAGTGCACGAAAAAAAGGGATTCGAGGAAGAGGGGTGCAGGAAGAAGATGAAAGCAAGGATTGAAGCGCCGAGGGGACACTTCAAGAGAGCCTGATGCGTGAGAGGAATCAACAACAAAGGAGCGCAGGGAGCTGTTGAGGGCAGGCGTCCGAGTCTTGCGTTGACAGCCTTTGACAGGCCGCGGAATTTTGATTTCTTCACATGTCATTCAAGACTCGGACAACCATCTATTCGCGCTATATCGGTCTATCAAACTTTGAAGCATCGAGAGCACCCTACGGGTATAGAGCGAGAAGAGTGCCTAGACCAGAATACTGTACTATTTCGACCGTAGGCCATGGTCACACGTCACAGCGGGCATATGGCATGGCCTAAACACATTTTGTCACAGGTCACAGGCCCTCTGAGGCATTATTTATTCATTTTTTCGTCCGGGCTTCGCCCAAAATGGCAACTTACCTGCCCTTTAAGGCAAGTCGGTCACAAATTTTGGAGGCCGATGGCCTATTTACACCCATGGCCTAAGTGCCACCCTTGTCACAGGTCACACCCCGCTGGCCTACGGTCGAAATAGTACAGTAGACTGAAAAGTTAGGTTTAGGCAGATGCAGTCTTGCTGATGTCTCCTGCGGTTCATATATCCGTATGGATCCCCTCACCTGACAGACCTCTCTACGATCTTGACCGTCTCTGATGTGGCCGAAAAATACGCCATGGACGGCCTCCAGGAGACCTTCAGATGGGCAGCGTTGGAGTGCGCTGCACAGGCACCTGTGGCCGCGTATGCTTTTGGGCGGCAGCACAACTTTGGAGATCTTGTGGTGTCCGCCGCACAACTATCCCTAAAAACTTCCATTATCGAGATTCCGCACTCCCCAGAGCTCAAGCGCATCTCAGGATCCGAGCTACAAGAACTCATCGCTTACCATCGCCGTTGTCAAGCTGAGGCCAGTGAGCTGGCGTTCACGCCCTTGGTTTGGTCCACCGAACTTAGCCAAATGCCCGCTGCATCGGAAACGAGGAAGTGTCCGACGTGTCAAAAAATGCCATACATAATTGTCGAAGGTCGAATATGCTACGCGAAATCTGTCGCGGATTCCAGTCAACCCCAGGCCTATTTCATGCACCATCCTGGTGGTACAAATGCCTTCAGAATGCGTCGTCAGCATTACACGCACGCCCTGTCGGCCGCGAGGTCACGAGACCGGACATAGTTGCACCCGCGCTTCGCCAGGCCAAAAGGAAATGCCAGTACGCGACAATCTGCTCTGAAACTGAATGTACTGTAGTTTTTCGCGCAGAAGTTCACGCCACCGCCCCTCGGCTGTTGCCGAGATGACATAATCCATCTGTGTCCCGGTTCGCAGACATGGTGGGACAAGGGACAGTGTTCCCTGATTTCGATTATTTCTCATGATATTACGGTCTATCATGGCTTTGCGGCCGTCAATACAGACCTGCAGGTTGATAGAATTGACAGAATAATATTTTGAAGCTCAGAACTTAGCTTAAGGTTGGCTTAAGGGGCTTGCAGAGGCCGAGCTGGAAGCATGGTAATTATTATTCTTTTTTGGTCATATTTTAATTTGTCCCGATTACATGTTCATTTCAGGTCGACAGTATGGGACTGTCCCGGGGCACAGGTTCGTTCGTGACCCCACTGGGACACGGGACACGAACTTCTGCCCGAAAAACTACAGTACCTTCCTCAAGGCGGCCGAGTCCTTGGCCAAGAAGGTCGACGAGCTAACAAACGAGGTACGAGTCGGTCATTCGTTGTTTCTCTACCAGCTTTTCATCTGGTTGTCTCTTTTCACCCGTTTAGATCGCCAAAGAAATGTTCATGGAGGGAAGCGTGGCAGGCGTCTGATATTTTCTGGTCATATGTTGCTGTGAGTCGCAATTTACGACGTGTTATGAGACGACGCTAATCCACCTGGAATCTCTTAATCGACCTGCTCTATTCTATATAGTCGCCGGAGACAATCCTTTCGACTGCGGGGTTGCTGCGAGGGCACTTGTTTTTGAGCGGATCCAGATATATCAAACCAATGGTCATCCGATGGGTACATGAGCGTTTTTTCCGTGTTCTGGGGAGCTTTGTGTACGGGTGTGGCGTCAGAATGATGGATAAGCGAGGCTTCATGGCTGTCCTTCTGTATGCAGGTCATAACCAAGGGGGTGGCGCGCGTAAAATTCCGTACCGGATCTTACCTCCCGCGTTTAAGGCCTTACCCCCCTCCCCCCCTCCCCCCCCTCGAATATTTAAATACTTTAAAAATGATTTATTTAATACCTTTCCCACAACATAAAAGATCAAAACGGAGGGCTATTGTGGTATTAACTCATTGTTTTGACGAATGTTGGTGTAACCTAGCCTAAGGCTAGGGGAGGGGATGACCGACGTCGACCGTAGCTTAACCTAGCCTAAAAATATCCATTATCATCTTTTTTACACTTAAACCATCTCCTATTCACAGTTTTATCAGCACTGTGTACACAGATAATCATATATGTGCCCCAGGAACCCTCCAAATGGCTGCCGTAGGACCTTCCATGATGTCCGGACAGTTCGCGTTTAAGGGCCCTCCGGGCCCCCCTCCCCCCCCTACATCCGGTTTTTTATTTTATTCCTGCCACCCCCTTGGTCATAACATGCAGCTGCCTCCACTTAGAATTGAGCGTCATGCACAAAAATCATCGAAGGAGCACATCAAGTCTTTGCATATCCCATCGCATGGAACGATACCGTGCACAACTCATCATTCGGATATCCTTCAAAGTCCCGTGTATATGTATGTACTTGCATTCCGTGAGATAGACGTAAGCCAGAGTTCCGTGAAACTGCCAGTAAGAACCGTGCCAGTGTATATATTTACAGTATATTACCACCAAAACAGCAAAACAAGGAGACGCCAGACGAACGAGGGACCCGGCACAATCCAAGAACCTGCATCAATGGTCCATATACATCCACCGACTCCATACGCCCCTCTCCTCGCAATCCAGCAGCTCCAACCAATCTCTCGCATAGAACAAAGCCCGCCTCTTGGGCCACTCGTCCAGCTCGATGTCGTCCGTGCCCTCATCTCGAAGAACGGTGTAGCATTGTTGGTTCAGACCGAGGAGACGTAGGCGAGGGAGTGCACTGCGGACGAGGTCGTCTACATCGGAGGAGCGGGGGAGGTTGACGGAGAAAGACTTAAGGCTAGTTGGTAGGCCGGTCGAGAATTGCTGATAACGCCACACAAAAGCAAGCCACACCGCCACACATTATGGTCAGAGAACCTTGAACGCTCTGAGAGCAAAAGGGCAAGCGTACCTTGACGTAAGAAGACATCAAACCCGAAGCTAACCACAATTCCAGCGCGATCACCGTCCTGGGAATCAACCACGTCAAAAGCGAAGGCGAAAGGTCCTTCGGCGCCTCCAGCGAAAGCATCTGCACATTCACCAACGCTGGCAACACGCCCCACACCGCAGCATCGTACCCTACTCTCAACACCTCCGGATGCTTCCACAACTTCAAAACCTTCAAACCCGGATGTTTCCTCACGAATTCTACCACGCTAGGGAACAAATCCGGATCGTTGAACTCCCTCACCGCGCTGAACACGATCAACGAAAACTCGCGAAGTGCGGCCATAGGAGTCTTGCGAGCGCGGAAAGCGGAGGACGGAGTGCATGTCTGTGTGAAACCGCATTTGATGCGAAGAATTTCGAGGTGGTGGCCGTGTTGGAGGAGGTCGAGGAAAGGTTGAGAGTCTGCGAAGCGGCCGTAGAGTTCGACGGAGGTGAGGTTATTGGTGTTGATGAGGCCGGAGGGGATGACGGCGTTGCTGACGTCAAGGGCGAGGGTACGAAGGGTAACGATGAGTTCAGACTTGAAGAGCGTGGGGCTTGCGGGGACGTCGGGGCCACGGTACCAGAAGCGAGTGAGTTGGGGCATGTGGGGTAGAACAGGAGCGGTGGAGCTTGTCGAGCTGTACGAAACGTGTGAGGATATAAGCAAGGAGGAGGTGAGCCGACGGCGGACAGAGACGCACTAGATGCCGAGATGCTTCAGTGTCGAATGCCATTTTTCGGTCATCTTGAGCACAATCGCGAGCGACTCGTTGCCCATCGTGAGCGAAAGAGAATTGAGATTGGTAAGTTTGCTGAGCGCGTTCGAAAGCATGCCTGCCTGCTATTCAGCGTCTCTTATCCTCTGAAAGAGGAAAGTGAAGTGGACTCACCCGTCTGGAACGAGCTCAGGGTCGTATCGTCACTATCTCTCTCCGGCGCCGTGATGACCAGCGTCCTGACCAAACCTGCATACGTCGGATTCGAGACAATCCGCGTGAGGATATCTGCACTACGCTGCGCATGCCAGTTATCTATCTCCACCGCCTCTTGCATCGTTTCGTCGATCTCCTTACTCAAGACAAGGTACCGAGCGGAGCCAAATTGAAGGTGGAGTTTTCGGAAGAGTAGGTGACTGGCGATTGTTGACAGTGTATCAGGGACAAAGAGGAGGCTACGAAGGTCTCGGCGCGGGAGGTAGAGAGCAATCTCCCGCCACAATTCGGGAGAGAAGTGTGGACGGACGTTGGCGCGGCCATACCCCTGTACAAGCTCGTGAGGTTAGTATTTACTAGTAGGCGCGGGAGTGCACACCTCTCCAGGCGCGTAAGACCTGTTGCCCATCTGTGGCAGTAACTGTCGGGCCTCGGTGTGATCGGGATCGAGAAGGAGGATCGACTGAAGATCTAAGAATGATGTTTGAATGGGATGTGCGTTCCTAGATCCATCTGCCAACGAGCGCTCACCTTGATGTGCAGCACCTCGAAGCCCAGCCGCGAATCTTGCCTTGGCACGTATTAGCCTAGCCCTGATTACATTCTCCTGATGGATGGGAACCGTCTGCAGACAAGACTGTACGGCGTTTTCGATGATTGTTCTCGACCTAAATTCAACAATCGAAAGCGCCGCAGCAGCGGTTGAGTGGTCGTCGATGTGAACAGGCGGTTGCGAGTGGTACGCTAGATCGGTCACTGACCTCGAGTTCGCTGGAAGGTGCTGCAATGAGTAGAGAAGAACGTCCACTTTCTTGTCCAGCGGGAGGGAGGAGACCACATCACGGATGCTGGCGTCCAGCATGAGAGGGTTGAATATCCCCATTGGCATAGCGATTTGTTATGAAGAGAGAAACGGGTATGGGTAGTCGGGTGCCTGAACAAACCAAAGGTGGTCAGATATATGTACTACTCCGTGGTCTGCAGTCAAGCGAAGTCTCCAAAGACAGCAATCCCGTGCAGTCTTTGACGGGTCAGAGTCGCAAGGCGTCCAAGTCCGATCACGGCAATCAATTCACACAGACTTCGTACTTATGAGTGCTGAGGTGAAAGAACAAGGAAAAGAGAGTGCCGCACTTCGGCGACTCTGAGCATCAGCGAAGGAGCAAACTAAGGGACAAACCTTATGTTTCGTTAGCAGGGCAAAAGTTTTCCGAACACGCGGTAAGCAGACGTGTCGCCTGTGAAGAGAGAAGAGAGCGCAGGGCGTAAGTTGCGTGTTAATGCGTTCGAACCAGGGTATCTATAGTGTCCCGAAGATTTGCTTTAGGATATGTTCTCCCATGAAGAAGCGTTGTGTCCACCATGTAATGCAACTATTTGGGGAGACTGGGACGGTACCTTCGTACTCACCTGAGCGCTCTACCGCCAGCGAATCAAACGAGCCAAAAAAAGGATCCGGTCCGACCTCGTGGCAACGGATCAAAACGAACTGCACGCTTTGAAAAAACGCGACTTTCCTCTTCTGACCGACTCCTTTTCGTAGAAGTTGAATCGCGAGCCCTAACACGGGTACTACAAATGCAGGCGCTATCAACTTGGGCGTGTTTGGGGACGCTGTTTGGACCTACGTACCTGCTTGGGGGGTCTGGGGCTAGAAGTACGTGCCGACGTGTTGGGAGAAAGATTGAACTCGGTCGATTCCCCTTGGGAGCTTTTAAACAGCGCGGGTCTCCGGGAACTCCCGAGATTCTGATACAGAACGAGTCTCGCCTCAGTCCAGCGTTCCGGCGTCAACGCTAAAATTGACGTTGACGAAGAACCGCTCAGCGTCGTACGGAACATCGTCGGAGTCTGATGCCCACGGCCGCCGACGTCGTCATGGGCAGCGACAAAGAACGTTAGACGCTGGCCTTAGGACTTGAAATCACTCGAAATTACCTATTCTTTTCTGTGGATGCAACTTGGAGGGAGAATATTATGGTTTAGGCCACTTATTCTGATCATGGACAGCGATATCCTTCTTTGGAGGAACTTGACTGAACTTGTCTGAGGCTCAGCACTAATTAGTACTACAGTAAGCAGCAAGCCACGACAAACTCCGATCATAACTTCTCATATTCTAAGGAGCTGCTTGGATTTCCATACTGAGAGTACCTACCTATAACAATGCCACACATTCCCAGCACCTAAGTATGTGATACAACAACAAAAAATTGCCTTCTCTCACTCGCCCGGCTCCCACCTTTACTCATTTCATTTCAGTTCAAGTCAACCCATACCCCGCCCCAGTCATCCCCACCACAAACGGCTCCACGACCTCCGCCCTCGCACTCCCCATCAACCCCCTCACACCCGGCTCCGCCTTAACGAGCCTCTCCAGCTCCTTCCCGACGAAGTCCCTTACATCGGTGACGTACGCCACAGGATCGACCGGCGCGTTCTCTGCGCCCGCGAGCTTCGAGTACGCGGCTTGGTACCCTGCGGACTGTTCCTCGAAGTCGATCGCTGTGAGGGAGGCATCGTTGTCTGCCGCGGAGGGAGAGGTGAAGACTTTCGGGTCTTTGAAGAGTTCGACGAGACCTTCGAAGGCGGAGGGCCTGTTTCGTTCGGGGATTAGGTCGGGATTTTTCTTTCGATGGGGGATGGGTGTGAGAGAAAGGATGTGGAGCTTACCAGGCGTTGACGTTTGGTTCTTGAAGCATCGTCGAGCTTTGCGTGAGCATCTTCGTAAGCCCAACAACGGCCAATTTCCGATCCTTCGCCAACATCTTCGGCGTCTGTGCTACAACAAACGTCGTGCAGATTTGAGACCATAGCCTGTTCGGGTCCCGTCAGCACGTGCATAGTCGGGGGAGATGTGAGCGAGACGAAACATACCCAGGTTGCATGGACTCCATCGCACCAATCACGACGTCCGGCGTCAGTCCGTCCGTTTGGACGGCCATACAGTACATGAGGAAATACACGAAATTGTACACGTAGAGATCCGTCTTGCTCGTCTGCAGCCTCGTAAGGAGCGTGAGGAAGATCGGCTTGAGGTACTGGCCCAGTGCCGACCTGCAACACCATCCCATTCAGGAACAAAATAGTCAACAAATCAGCAACCATCACCACCGACGAAGGGCAAAAAAAAAGAAACTCACATCGGCACATAACTCACAACAGCCTGCAACAACTCAAATCCCCATCCATCATTCAACTTACTCGGAATCAGCCTCTGCTGCACCACCGCCAACACGCTCGTAAAACTCCCCGTCTGCACCATCTGTGCCGAGTCGCGCGCTAAAAAGGCTTTGAGGAGCTTCACGAGCCCGGGCACGGACCCTTTTTGTTGCCAGATTGCGGGCATGAGGAGGTGTGGGAGGAGGGCGCGGTAGGCGGTCGGGACGCCGGTGTGGAGGTCGAGCATTTGGGCGAGGATTTGGAAGACGTAGGGGATGTATTCTGTGGCGGGCGGGGTGGGGTGGGGTGGGGCGGGCGGGGTGGGGCGGGCGGGGTGGGGTGGTAATGACGTGTCAGATACGAAGGAAGAAAAAAAAATCGAGGAGGAGGGATACGTACGGTCGATATCCTGCTGGATGATGTACGTGAAAGGATCAAACAAGAAACTCTCCAGCACCACGATCGACCCCGGTTTATTAGGCCCCACGAACCTACACGGACAGTCAGCCCATTACTCCATGCCGACATCTTCACAAAACCCGCCCACGACGCTACCCTCGCCAAAAAAGAAAAACGCTCACCGAATCAACATCGAAACGCTCTCGAATATATACTGATCGAAGTTCGGATTACTCGGGTTCTTCGAGATGATACCGAGGATATTGACGAGCCGGGCAAGGAGGGCTTCGTACCCGTCGATGAGGGTATGTCGCGAGGTCGCGATGAGTCGCATTGCGCCTGTTTTCGTATAGCATCGCACGAAGGGGGTCAGATGGGTTCAAAGGTCAGGAGTGCATTCAGAGGGCAGACAAAAAGTTGGAGTGGAAGGATGGGGTTGAGAGTAGAGAGTTGGGGACAGGAGAAACATACATCTCATCAAAAACTCATTCTCCGCGACCTTCTCCGGACTTCCGCCCGCCTCCATCTTCGCAAAAAGGATTCCGAGCAACTGCGGCGCGAATTCTTGAACGTCGACGTGTGTGAACCTGATGTGTGCGTCGGGTGGGCAACATGAGTAAATCGGACGTTAGCGCGTAGAGCAAGAGGGCGTAGAGCAAGAGGCGTGAAGTAAAAGGACGTCGAGGAAGAGGGCGTGGAGCAAGAGAACGTGGAGGACGTGAAGTGAAAGGACGTGAAGTACGAGGGCATGGTGTGTATGAAAAGACATACATCGGAACATTCCCACTCCGAATCACCAATATCCTATCAATAGCCACCGCCGCATAGGTATACACCGCGACGTTGTCCGAGGCCAGATGACGCGCGAGAAGGGGGAGGACGGAGAGGAGTTGTTCTTTCGTGAGCTAGGTGGGTCGGTCGGTCGGTGGGCGAGTGGGGGGAGGAGGAGAGAAGAGAGGAAGAACGTGTTAGCGTTTGGTGTTGATCTCGAAGTGAGCATTGGAATGCCGAGAACGGTCAAAGTTCCGACAAAGCGTCAAACGAAGAAGTAGCAACCATCGAACGCCAGTAAAACGAAATGAAGCTATTTCAAAAACTCAAAAGACAAAGATAACCCACCTGATTCCTAAAAGTCCACAAATACCTAATCGCATCGACCTGCAATATCGGATGGACACTGCCCGGGTCCGCCTGGAGGTCCGCGAAGATGTTATCGCTGAAGAACTGGACGATGTCCACGAGTGGGTTCGTTGATGTTACGCCCATCTGCATCCGTCAACACCACAACACGTCCAGAGCATGCGGATAAGCGAGTCAGCATAATCCTCCGAGTCACGATAAAACGAGAAAAAAATAATGGTAAGAGGTAAAGTGAAACGCACCGTACTCGTCGACCCCAAAGCCGCCACACTCTCAAACAAATAAATCGCCGCATCCTTCTTCCTCCACCCCTCGCCCCCCGAATTCGCCTTCGCCTCCTCCAACCCCCTCCCAATCCACCCCCCCACAACCTCCATCACCTCCTTCGCTCCTCCCGGTTTTTCTCCCCCCTCTTGTCCCGCCCCTTGTCCTTGTCCTTCCCCACCCAACCCACCACTGGTCAACCCCCCACCCGATCCCACGCCAACCTGCAACGCAACACCCACAAGCGCCCTCACACAATCCCCCGCACTCCCCCTCGCCCCCACAACCTCCACACCCCCCATCCCCTCCCTAACCCACCCCAACGGCCCATCCTCAAACCTCTCCATCTCCTCCTCCCTCATCTCTACCGTCGGCACGATGATGCCCGAGATCAAAGAGTGGAGCGTGGAGGGGAGGAGGAAGAGAGGGGTGGAGGTGCCGGAGCGGATGGAGGTGGAGAGGAAACGGAGGGATTGGGAGGTTAGGGGGGAGGTGGAGGGGGTTAGGGGGAGGTGGGAGGAGGAGGAGGAGGAGGAGGAGGAGGAGGAGGGAGAGAGGAGGGACCAGATTGTGTGGATGAAGGCTTCGATGGAGGAGGTTGAGGCGAGGAGTTCGGGGTAGAGTTTTACGTACATCTGGGTGGGGAGGTTTTTGAGTGAGGAGAAAGGAGGGAAAGAGATGGGGATGGGGATGGATGCGCACCTCGGCGATCTCGAGAATCGATGTCCGGATCTTGTTGGGGATCGACGGCGTAACGTCGTCTGGCTATATCATCACACCGCACGCGTCAGCCACTCCACACACGAACGGGTAAACTAGTGATAGGTAGAAACTCACATCAACTTCCAACTCCTTCGGATCCCAAGCCATCAACTTCAAAAACCACCCCTCACTCGCATCAAAAAACCTCGCATGCAGATCCTCAAACTCCGGCGCGACGTCCTGACACGTCAAATCATAATAAATCTCGCACAACAACGCCATCGTCTGCCCATACGTCTCCAACTGCTCCTTCTGTTCTTTTGTCGTCGAAGGGGGAGCGGAGGAGATTTGGGTGAAGGTGTGCTCGAACAGCTGATGGAAGGGTGCGAAGAACTTTTGGATGACCATGATGATGGTGCTGAAGAGGGAGTCGGAGCGGGTTTCGGAGCGCCAGGGGGCGAAGATGGAGTGTGCGGTTTCGAGGACGGAGATGTTGAGGGTGAAATCGGTGGCGGAGAGGGAGGAGACGATTTGCTGGGGACATTGGGAGGAGAAAAAGGGTGAGTATTTTGGGATTCAAGGTATGAAGAATGAATGAGATTGAGGATTAGAAAAGGAGCGAGTCATGGACAGGACTGGAATCCGCAGAGGGGGTATGCAACCCTCGACCCAGCGCGAGGGTGCCACCCGTCCGTGTAAGTTCCATAATATGCTCGCTTCGCTCACAGCTACATCTCTAGGTAGCACATACTTACAGAAAAAGAACGTCGCAGCAGCCGGCCAATATCCCAGCCACAGACCCTCCCCAATATACGCCACACAAATACACAACAAACCAAAGGCGAAAAGACTCACATCCATAAGATCAGGCCACGCATGCGGGAAATCATACTTCGCCACGATTGTCACCGTCTCCGCGATCTGCGCTCTGAGGCCCCTATCCGACTGTGCAGAGAGCGCGAGCATGGCAGGGAGGAGTTGAGCCTTGAGCGCCGCCTTGTCCGCGTCCGACACCGTGTTTTCGTCCTACATTGGCAACACAGACGCGTCAATGATGTATAGCAAGACGGAGAAGAAGAAGCAACGGACATCATCGAACCATCGGCCCTTGACGAGGTTCTTGAGGTAGACACTGCCCGCGAGTCTGACGGCGCGGTTTTGGGAGGGGGCGAGGACGAGCTGGAGGAGGTTGGTCGTGAAGGAAGGTTGGAGGCTGTAGGCCTGCAGAGACTGTTCTGCTTGTTTTCTGTTGTGTGGGTCGAGAGAGGCGAGGAGGAGGGACGGGATGTCGGCCATCGTGGCGATGGTCAAGAGCGTGCAACGATGAGAGAAATCGAGACGCGCTTTCTTTGCAGGATGCGCTCACGTGCGCTGACGCGTTCGATTCCAGCTCTTTGGCGCCCGCGCGCGGTGAAGACACCGTCATCAGATGTGGCATAACCACTACATCGCAGTGGTGCTCTTGCTGAAGACAAGACTATAGAAGCACCATAGATGTCACCTTGATAAATGGTCAACGTATGCTTGGGATGTTTTCTCGCCCAGCCGCAATTCTGACTAGACCCGACTGCAAGAGTGGGCGCTCATCAGCAAATCCACCCGAAATAGCTCATTGTTTGGCTATCCAGATCGCACCGACCGCCCCTTCTTCCCTCTCGTATGCCTCTCCCTTTGCGCCATGGATCGTCCGCCCATTTCCTCTTCTTCAAGCTCTAAGCGGCGGGCACCTCATGATCCGACACGCTCTGTGCGCTCGCGTCTGGATATGGCCGTGGACGGCGACGTGTTCTCTACAGGTACCGTCCTCTTCATTCTCGTTCTCCATCCGTTTGGATCATTTTTACATCCCCTCCCGCGGCTCAGTCCAGTGTTATCCTACCTACTGCTCTCCCTGATATCTTACTCGAAGGTATTGTTCCCTGCATTTCCCCCCCATACTGTCTATTTTTACTCACTCTTCGGCCGCTATCCTCTATTAGACATCGACGACTACCTTGTCTCCCCACCACCTCCGGCCGTTTTCTCTGGTGAACATGACTTGCACGGCGGTACACCGTTGCGTGCTCGATCAATTCCCTTGGATTCTTGGGACGTTCCTGTTGGTTTAAGCTTCGCCGAGTCCGGTCATGGTACGTTCTGTCTATTCTCTCCCTGTATTCGAATTCACATCATACTGACTTATATGTCAGCTTCGCTTCCATCACCTTCGTCCGGCCAATCCTCTCGTTTGCCTTTGCCGCCGCCCCCTCCAACCTCGTCTCGCCCTATGCTGCCCCCCATTCAGTCTATGTTTACTCAGCCTCAGCTGGGTTGCGAAGAAAGAGGACAGAATGTCCAACCCGTGAACACCTTCCACTCGAACACAATGGCTACCGGCCCGCCGAGAGTTCAGGAATTTCAAGTTACACCCTCTGAATCAGTCGCAGGTGCTAAATTAAAGTATAACACACGACGCAGTGGCCGACATAAAATTCTCTCCGACTTCTTACGTAGGATTCGTGCCAACAGATTGGTGTTGTAATTGTCTCGGATCAGGTTGGGCCACACAAGGTTTCGAGTACGAGTTGTTAGCGTTTGATTATGTATCGGCGTACTGTGCGGTGTATATGCGGTGCGGAAGAAAAGTTGCAGATGTTACAATTTAAATTATTTATGACATACAACACCAAATCACATAACGAAGCACAACGTCCCTCCTCCTCCCAACTCCTCCCCCCAACTCTACCCCCCACCACCCCTCCCAACCGCCCTCATCCCCCACGCACCCCTCCACAGCACCCCCTCCAAATACGTACTGAACGTGCTCCCGTCCGTGCCGACGACGCCCCAAGCGTGACTTGTGATGAGCGCGTCGAGCAGCGGGAGGAGAGGAGGCTGGAGGGGGGTGTGGTCGAAGCTGCTCGTGAGCTTATGTAGAGACTTGAGGTTCGGGTGAGGGAGGGAGGAGAGATTGGGATGAGTTTGGAGGGAATTGTGGAGGGAGGGGGAAGAAGGTAGAGAAGGCGAAGAGGGCGATAGGAAGTCATCAAGAAAAAAAGTACATGGCCACGTCCTCAGCAATAACTCGAATGTAGCATCGTTAGCCGGAGCGCGTGCATCGGTGGATATGTAGAGGGGGATGTTGAATTTTTTCATGTCTGGATGGACGTGCAGGGGGCGACGACATGTTGTTGTGGTAGTTGAGTTGGTGGAGGTGTTTAAGGAGAGTGGGATGGGAAGGGGAAAGGGAGGTCGAAAGCCTGGTGGAACGGGTTCTTTATGCCTCGGTACGTCTCTTTCTATCATCGGCTCCAACCCCTCCTCTCCCTCACTGCCTCTCCGACCCTCACCATCGCCACCAAGAAGGATACGTTCCAACCTCCCCGCCTCCGCAAAACTCACTCCCATCTCCCTCACAACAAGCCCATACCACACCTCTCTCACCGTCTCCCTTCCTCCAGACTTGAACTTTCCGTCGCCGAGACGAAGGTGTGCACCAAGGTACGTCCCTGCGCCTTTTATTTGTTTTATCCTGGCTTTCTGTCCTCCTTCTCGTCCATTCCCTTCATCCCCGCTTCTATCCTTCCCACTTCTTTCTTGATCGCCCAAATCGCTACCGCTAACCCCTACACCGCCCCCCACCGCCCCCAAAGCCCCAACAACCTCCCCAACCATCCCACCCAGAATTTCACCGGCACCGGTACCCCGATCACCAAAAACCATAGACTCCCTGATACCGCGTTGGAGAGCGAGGTGGGAGGGTGTTGTTAGGTGGAGACGGGAGGATCCGAAGAGGGAGGAGAGTTGCAGGACCTTGGGGGTGTTTGTTGCGGGTTTAAGTTCGGGTGCGTTACTTGCGGAATCGGGTGAGGGTTCGTGTTGAGGCGAGGAAGAGGAAGGTGGCAAGAAGGGAGGGGAGCGAGCGAATGAGGATGGAGCGAAATAATCAAGCAGGGACTCGATGGGTATATCGGTCGTATACCTCGGATGTGTCGACGTTGCATTATATCGATTCGTACCCAGAAGCTCATAATCCACGAACCGAAACTCATAGGCCGTCGTGTCTTTCAACACCGTTATCCTCCCGTCGTCACTTTGAGCCCAACCTTCTCCAAGTCCGAGGTCGATATCGCCCGCGTGTAACCAATAATAGTCAGTATCAGGCCATCCGAGCCATGTGACGGGATTGGTGTCGGGAATGGTGGAGGCAGTCGAGACGAGGTGCTCAAAGTCGATGAGCCAGTCCCAAGCTACGTATGTATAGTCGAAATAATCGAGACATTCCGGTGGTAGGCCGACCTCTACACCCGCAAGAGCACCGCAGTGCGCCAACCCCTCCTTCCCCGCCCCTCTCCACCCCCCCTCCAAAATCCCAAACTTCGCATACGTCAACGGTCTCGCTCCAAGCCTTACGGGCGGGACGATGAGCGTGAGGTTTAGGATGGAAGAGAGCGTGAGTGCGTTTTCGAGCGCGATCCGTTGGTTGTGGAAGCCGGAGTGGGGGAGGTAGGAGAGATAGGATTTTGAAGGGTCGAGTGTAGGATGTGACTGAGGTGGAGGTGGAGTTGGAGTCGAGGGTGAGTGGGGAAGATAGAGCGCGAGAGGGGGGAGGCCAACGTCGATTATATACGAGTCCGGATAGTGCGAGTGAGGGTTGTGAGTGCGGTGAGACGCGAAGAGGGAGGAATCGTAGCGTGAGATGAGGTGGTAGGCTGCCCAGAAGGAAGAGATCGCGCCAAGGACGAGCGGCGGGACGAGCGAGGCTAGCATCGTAGAGCGGAGAACTTTCCGAGAGTCAGGCCCTGGTCGTCGTAGTTTCATGAGAATACAGTAGATCTAGAGAGCCAGACTTGACAAGGACCACTAGTAATACAGCACAGTTTACAAGAGTATGTCTAAGCCATGGACGAGTCCGAGATAATAATCCTGGAAACCTCAGCGAGCGGTAGAGTTGCGGTAGAGAAAGCGAGCAGCAAAAGACAAGACGCGTGTGGCGCCCGAATCTGCCCGAATCGAACGCGTCAACCCACGTGACCGCATTCCTGCAAAGTTCAGAGTCAGACAAACCGCGTCCTATTCCGTCCTTCCCTTGTTCTATCCTTTGCGCTACACAGAGTATGTCAATCCCCTCCACAGATTTTCCTGGTGCTTACGGAGGTCAACTTGCTCACTTGACTGCCATGGCGCCGTGCATCCCCAAAGCCTCGAATCTGCAGATATCGATTCTGGAGAGCTCGGAGCAGTGGTTCTGGGTACGTTTTCGCACCCACGTTGGCTAGTCTGTCAGCACCTTCATTCCTTCGATGCCACTGTGTCCTTTAATCCATTGAAAAGTGGTGGTAGCCGCTCGCCTGGACCTCCGTAGAGTCGCTGCGATTGCTCGACATAAACCCGTCGCGTTCGCTATTCAGATCCACCTTTTATCCTCCCAGGAGCTCCCAATCGCATAAACTGAATCAGACTTGACGTGCAGGGGTGCGGAAAGTGGCGCTGTAGTTGCGGTGTACCATATCGCTAGAAAATCCCCTGTTTGGTTCGTTTGCGGCATCATCGTGTCTGAACCATATTCCACTTCATTGCCTCTGCGTTCTCGTCGCCATTGTGTATGCACGTGCACGCTATCTAGACACGGTTTCTGTCGAACTTCACACACATTTTACAACCGAAGAAATAGCGTTATGTTCTTAAGATCACTACTACTAGCGCAATCTCCGAAGCCGCCGCGAGAGCCTCCACCGCTATCACTATCAACCACGCAGCGACGAAGGGTCGCCCGAAGCTCTGTGTTATCCTGTCCCTTTGTCCCGGTAACTCTACGATGCGTTCATGTACTTGTAGAGCCCGTGATGGCCCAGTTTCGACGACCGACCATGCTCTCCCTCGAGAAGCCACCCATGGGATAGGCAGGGAGTTCGTGCTAAACAGAATGTTTCTCAACCTTCTATGAGGGCGATACAAGTTGAAATTCCCGACTTCCATTTCGAAGTGCATATCTGTGTAAGGCCTCGTGACGTTGTTTGTCTACACAAAGTAACAAGCCTTCCTTGGCTAGCAGAACGCGGTGTTTTAACGCACAGGCATCAACGTTGAATGGAGACGCGGCGCACTCAAACAAGGATTGAAACCTCACAGTTTGGGAGACCGCAATGCGGTCCTTGATGCTGAGCCACGGTGGAGCATTCTAGAGTCCTAGTCGAAGAGCATATCCGTTGCTTCGTTGTCTGGTGATCCATTCTATTCTCAACGCCGTGGGGCCAGCGAAGTCATATATAATGTCGCACATTGAGATGTCTTGCTGTCCCTTCATTACGACTATTGCCCGAGCGGCCCTTGACATGACGTCGCTACCTATAGGTCGACTTGCCTTCTTCCTCCTTTATCTGGTGGATATTTCACTTCAGCAGTCAAGCGCTCACTGGGATGAACTCAACGCAACCGTTCAAGGAAGGCTTGTACGGGGAATCCCGCTCGCGCGGCCTTGCTTCAAGCTGGCGAACGGGACCGGTGGAGACTTCAACCCAGACGAATGCTCCATTGTCATTCAGGACTATCTTAATGAAGGTGCTTCTATTCATCCGTTCATTGGATGGTGAATTTGTGCGATTATCTTATGTCTTTTAAAGTTGTTCGCATAGATACGTTCTCAGCATATATAGATGTGAATATCGACTCCTCGACGCCTCTATGTGGAAACACTGACTCTATGTACTGACTCTATGTTTTTTATGAAGACTCGATCGGAGATATGTCAAGCCACAAACAGCGGATGTATTCTCGATACCTCAATGGTCAATAATTCAAATGCATTCGACATACCCCAAGTGTGCAGTCAAGGTAGCATTCCGGAGTACGCGGTATGCTATATATCATCCTGGGTGTATTGCTTCATATGCTCACAGAGCGACTAGGTCGACGTACGGACAACCAAGGACGTTCTTGCCAGCTATAAGTTCTCGAAAACGCACTCCATTCCGCTCGTCATCAAGAACACCGGGGCAAGTACAGTATATGTACTCCATTCATACGATGCGTATTCAGTCCAAACGATTAGCATGATCTTAAGGGTCGAAGCAGCGCACCTCACTCTCTTGCACTTTGGGTGCGTTTATATTTCTTTCCATCCGCGCCCGTTTCATTCAGTACTTACTTCAACAGATGCACAACCTTCAATCGGTCAGTTGCTCCCTGGAGTTACCATGCCGCATAATGTATCTCTTAAACACTGCGGTATAGATATCTCTGAACAAAACCTTCGTCCCCTATGGATGTAATTCTACTCCGACCGCGGCAGTCACATTTGGGGTGCGTGATCATGTCCGTTTCGTCTACAGTCCATCGTTGGTTCCTAAACGCACATGTCTACGAAGGCTGGAGTTGTGACATCGTCCATCCTCGATTTCGCTGAAGCGAACAACATCACTATTCCGACTGCTAGTGATCTTACTGTGGGAGTGGCAGGCGGCTATCTGCAGGTAAGTAAACAATAGGCTCTTCTGCATGGTGACGTGCGGTATTGATTTGACGGTTCAGGGAGGAGGTCATAGGTCTGTGTGCATTGACGGATCAGCATCTTCAGAAACGCTGACTTATCTGTTACAGTACTCTCTCCAATACACTAGGTTTGGCTGTCGATAGAGCGGTAAATTCCTACGATATCTGCTTATGCATTCAACACTGAGCTGTTTTGATTCAAATATAGCTTCAGTTTGAGGTCGTCACACCCTCCGGACTACACGTTGTCACAAATAATTGCCAGTACCCTGATCTCTTCTTCGCCTTGCGAGGCGGAGGCGGCGGGACTTTCGGCACAGTTCTGACCGTTACGACATTAGCACTCCCTCAGCTACAGGTCAAAACGTGAGCTATGGTCACTGACTCCATGTACTCTGTTAGCTCACTCGCGGAGTGTTTTCGTAGAGTCGAAGTCTCTTTCAGCGCAGCTCGCGAGGACCAAGAAAGATTCGTGAAATTCATGGTGGACCATACAGTACGATTTGCTCGAGATGGTGCATGTCTAATAGTCTCTTTGCGCTATACCCGGGTCTTTACTGATTTCATATTATGACTATTTTCTAAAGGATGGGGCGGGTCCTTCGCAGCGACTGTGACTACATTTGTCCTCCTCTTTCTGCATCCCCATTGACGACTATGTTTTCTTAGTCCACCGCCGGTATCCTGTCATTCGCCAACAGCATATTAAATAGCAGTAGAGCAAACGAGTCCATCGAGCCGCTCCGGTCTTATGTCACACGAGAGCTGAAGGGTAACTTCACCTTCACAGTCGAGCCAAGCTATAGGTCTTTCTTCAATAAATTTCAACCAGCCCAAGTAAGTCATACAACTCTGCCGTGATGGATGCGTGCTCTAACCACTTGATTCCTTGTCACCAGCCTGTTGGCCCAGGGTCCGCACTTGCATCTCGCCTCGTTCTACTCAGAAACTTCGAGTCAGACGTGAACCGCGAAGAGCTCACGCGTGTAGTCAATGGGATGTTAGACGCCGTTGACGCCATGTATCTTGTCGCAACTACACCATTCCTGTACGGAGAAAGTCCTGGAACCAGCTTGACACCGGCATATAGGACAGCCTTATGGCATGTATGTGTCTAACTCCTCGCTTACTACTGACTAAGAGGTCACAAACTGACTTCACCCCTAGTTTATCGTGGCCAAAGAGTGGAAATTCAACGCTTCGGTGGGCGAGGTATCAGATGCATATAAATCAGTGTCAGACGCAATCCGTCCTCTTCGTGAGATTACGGCCGAATCTGGTGCCTACCAGGTAAATGCTGCATTCCATGCCTCTAATAGTCTAAGAGCAGACGACTGACCCGTATGACAGAACGAGGCGGACATATACGAGCCTGATTTTGAGGGTAAGCTTTCCGTCTTCGCGTTCGAGCCACTCCAATCTTGCTTATACTATATGAAGTGTCATTTTGGGGAAGCAATTACGAAGAGTTGTTGGCCATAAAGAAGAAATAGTACGTATCATTGGCACTTCATCAGACTTTGTATCGAGGTTAACTTCTATGTACATAGCGACCCAGATCATATTTTGGATTGCTGGCAGTGTGGTATGCCTCTCTCAATGCTTGTGCTGCTCGACTCAACTGATTGGATCAATGGCCAATAGTCGGTTGGTCCGGGCCTTCGAGTCCTAGGTTTCAATGTTATCTCCCATTGTAACGCGTTGGTACTCTTCCGGGTCATTGTATGCACTACTTCTGACAGGCAGTCTCGATATTCATCTGTATTGTAGTCTCAGGTTTTTGGGTTGACCATATTATTCTCCCGTTGGGTGCCCCGTGCGGCCTCCATTCGAATTCACGGCTCACTGAAGATACACGATGTATTCGAAGATTGGAAAATATCATATCACGCTTCCGCGAACTCTCTGCCTTGTCTCGGCTCCCAATCCTTCCCAAGGTCGCCTCAAACATCCGCACTGCTCCTTGCCATGCACGCCGATGCTATCAGCCTTTGGGGGACTTTCAGGCTTCAGCGCCCTAAGGGACACAATCTACCTCAGTATTAAAGCCTACCGTTACGAAAAGGTCAAAAAAGACTTACTTGCAGGTGATATTTACAAGTAAACTTGGGTGCCCTCATCAAATATTCTATATGCGCCTTCCTCGAACCGAATCGCCAGGTGCTTCTCCCCAAACCCCACCAATACGTTCCCCTGGCGCAACAGAAACCCTCCTCTTTCTGTCGCGAACGCCTGCCCTCCTTGAATTGACACATTTGTTTTAGAGAACTCGCATCATACGTAGATGAGGAATACTCACCTCTAGAGGTCATTTCAAGTAAACCTCGTGCTCCAACCAATCCCGCTGCAGCTGGTGCTATCGCGCCTCTCAGAGCGCCTAGAGCACTCACCGCCCCCAACAGCATACTACCCGTCCCAGCCGCACACGCCATCCCCATCGTCTTTGCCTGCTCCGCAGACTGATCTCCCGAGAACTCCTCCCCGTATGCAGCCCGGATCTCTATTGAGAATAGCCAACTCGGCATGTCGAGTTTGGTGAATGTCTCCCCCGGTTGGACGCCGTTTTGGAATGCCCAGGGTATGCCTGAAGTCCAGGCGATGTGCAATGCTTGGTCTGTATCGTTTTTGATATGTACGCGGGTCATTTTTTGGTGTAGAGGGTTGGTGAATGGACGTAGATTGGTGGTTCGGGGCGGGTTGGTTGAAGGTTGTGGTATAAGCCGCGTTCATATTTCTCTTTATGTTGCAGGATACTCACTACGCCACCGAAATAACCAGCGGCTAAGTGGAACGGCGCACAAGAAGGATCATCTACTATTGACTGAGAGCAATGAGGCATAAAAATTCTCACGACACGCCACAGAAATTACGCGCTACATACTGTACATCTCGAGCGCAGGAGCGTGGTTTTTCTCTGGAATAAATGAATCATTGATGCGAGAGGAAACTACGCACTGACAATTGGTACTATGCACCCACAGTTGTAACATTAGATTTACCTACAAAGCAAGCACGACTGCTCATTATATCACAACAAGCGCCGCAAGCTCCGTCGTACAACATCGAAGTGAATAACATCAACAAAACGAAGCTGAAAAACAATCTGAGTAAGTACACGGTTACGATGCGGACACCATTGACAATGACCATGAATCGGAATTTAAGTGCAGAGATATAACCTTTGAATGGAGTACTGGAGTACGATGACCAGACCACCGATAAGCGCTAAGCCCTCCACCATCGGAATTAAACCGCACAGGAGCATCAGTAAATCATAATGAACATGCAGATAAGGACAGCCGGACACATATGGACGGGTTCATCTCGGAGATGCTCAGTGCTCAGTCTTGTGATAAGTAACTCCATCAGCTGTGCTCTCAGTTCCAAAAACTGTACTCCACGATCGAGTCGTCGATTAGTACAGTACAGTATCCAGCCAACGAAAAACCACGAAGAGGAAGGCATATGCCATACCTTTTTCTCCTCTTCGCGAACACACCGAAATCCGGCTCGGAGACTAATATACTCCGCATGCGCAAGGACGGCCTGTATGTACATGCGCCGGGTCCTCAAGTTGAATCGCGATGACAATGATGAATCCCTGGTCCGAAGGACTCACCTTGGTGGTTTCATCGTTACGGTTATCATAACCATCCACAGGCCGCATAACATGATGTTGTTCGATGCCAAAGGACAGTGTCAAGTCCTCTGCATATTCGATGTATTCCTCCAAGGCTTTGATCCAGTATTTCTTTTTCTCGTGTTGAGACAACTCGTCACTAAGGTATTAGCAGACGGCCCGGGAATGGTTATGGTTATCACCCAACTTGAACGGCCAACGCATGTCATGTCGTGACTCTGATTGTGGCCCAACCGCCGAAGTTGAACAACAACCCGGCATCTCCCGCCCGTGCCCCCGCTCCGAAAACGCGCGAGCATCCATTGGCTGCTTCGTTCTCTGCTGGTCATCGTCACCCGCGTCTCGCTCTACCTTCCATCCTTCCCGCCTCTCCACCTTCTCACCCAACCCCAAGTAAAACTCACACAATACTCCAATAGAACTTACACAGGCGAATCAAAAACAAACAATGAGCGCACTCTCGTCCTTCTTCTCGTCTTTCGTCGGGACCGCATACGCCGAGGAGAAGCCAGAAGAGAATAAGAAGGAGGAGGCGGAAGAGGATAGTGGTAAGGAGGAAGGAGGCGAGGAGGAGGCGAAGGAAGAAGAGGAGGAGGAGGAGCCTGAGGATGTATGTTCTTCTTTTCGTTGACTCTCCCTTTCCCTATCATTCCCCTATCCTTTCCATTTCGATTCTTTTCGCAGTCTTTGGTTTCTAGATTCGTACTGACACATTGTTTTATCGTTGGCGTGTTGGTTGGTGGGAATATCTGGGGTTGGACGATGGATGCGACACTGACAGCTCATGCCCGCGATCCGCTCAGAGTGCGAAGAGTCCGCGGCGTGCAAGCCCGCGAAGCATCACTTCCTGCATTGTCAGGAGAAGATCGAGGCGGGCGAGGGCCATAAGGGCGAGACTTGTGTCGAGGAGATGTGAGTTATGTGCTGTCCTCTCTATTTTCTTGACTTTTCTCGCTTCGTGCTTCATGATTTTCGACGCGTTTCGTGTTCCATCGTTCTTTGCGGTCGAGATAGAGGTGCTGACTGACGCGTTTTTTGGTCTTTGATCTAGGTGTATGTACAGTTTACTCATATTTTCAAGACGGATGGGTTGAATCCTGACGTATATCTACTCACCCTCGACGTCCTACTGTGACGCGACATGTCCCGGCATCCAGTCCAGTGCGTACTTGCTGCTTCCTACTCACCTCTTTACTCGTACTAACCATTCATCCTCCTCTCTACTCTACATCTCACGTCCAGCCTCATGCACTGCGCCGACGTACGTCCCGTCCCCGTTCTCCCCCTCAGTCCTAACGCATCTCTCATCTAAAATATCATATCGCCCCTTTCTCATGCAGAACTGCCTCGCTCCAAAACTCTTCTCCAAGCTCGCATGATCACGATCCATACACCATTCTCACCACTCCTTCGGTACGCCTCCCTGCTCCCGTTCATCTAGGTTGGCCGTATGCGTATGCTAATCTTGTGATCCTTATTGTCCTCGTCCTTGTGCTGCTGTTGCGTCCTCTTCGGCCGGAAATAGGGCGAGAGACCTGGTAGATGTAGGCCCGCGCTACACTGCGTGTTCATGTTGATGTTATCCTGGTGGTCTTCGTGTGCTTAGAGTTTGCGCGTTCGCAATGCAATGCAATCGTCGATTCATCTTCTTCATCTGCATCGAAAACTCTGATACTTTGATCTGTTAAGTGAGACTCCAGAGGTCCCTCCGTGCTCTACGAAAAGGACCACGAGCTGTGCTGGAACTGGGACGTCAAGAGAGCTTTCGAATACTCATAGTCCTCTTGACTTTCAGCACCCTGTTTCACGCACTGCGATATGCGTCCGAGGTGCTAATTCGTGTGAGTCGATGTGGCACCGTCACAAAAGTCAACTGACAAGGACGAAGATCAGGGAGGATATACCGATACAAGTTGATAAGTACAAAAATCGAAACTATGACCTGCGCACAAATCGTCGAGCAGGAACAGTGGTAAGAAGTACAGAGAGACCGCAGCCACAAAATACACAGCCTAATAAGTACACAAGAAAGCCGGACGACCATACCCATCCAGGAAACAACAGGACATCTAAATCACGCGAACATACAACCCTTCTCGGCGCGTTCGAACGTCAATTCCACACCCCTCTCGACCAAGCTCGCAAGGGCCATCCTAATAAGCTGCCGGAGCATCAGCCACAAGGCCCTTACACCTACCAAAACCTGTTTACCATCTATCATCCGAACACGTACCCTCCCCATCCGCGCACATGGGAAGAACGCCGCCCCCGTCCTCCCGTCCTCGTTTCCAAGGCCAGCATCATCGCCCTGCGGTACATAACCGCGCCTCTCCCCATCGACCAAAACCGTGAGTTGTCGCACCGTCTTGATGAACGTGTCCGGGTGAAGATACGCATATCCCATCTCGAACGACAACACCACTTCCTCCAAAACCGGCCCAGAGCGATCCCCGAGCACCCACATCGACCGACTGTACTCAGACAACGCCTGGATCGTGACAGTATTCCCCTCATCCAGATGCAGCCCTACGCATTTAGGCCCCGGCCCCGGCCTGGAGAACCTGCCCCAGAATCTGATAGACTGCACCATATCGTACGGAGGACCTTCGAATCCTACTTCGACGGTCTCGATTGAAGAGGGTGCGGACTGGGAATGACGCTCGACGAACGTTGCGATGCTGGGAGACCAAGTGGCGTGAGAACACCCGTAGAACGAGAGTGTGTTGAGTGCTGGGGTGTCGAGTGCGGCGAGGAGCGCGTCCAGGATCATCTCGACGTTGATCGCGATACGAAAGTGGGTGAGATAGGGAAGCGTGATCCGGGTGGGAACGGCGTCATCGAGGAAGACGATTTCAAGGTCGGCCTGGATGTGAAGTACGCGGAGGCACGAGAAATGCGACAGGACATGGACGATGTCGTGAACATAGTCTGGGCTCGTGTCGATGTCTCTTATATGAAGCGTCGTGATCTGGGCCCAGGGGAGCAAACAGCTTAGGAGCGCGGGAGTCGGAAGGGTGGTAGAGGATAAGCGCGGTGCGTTCCCGGGCGAGAGAGAAAGGGCGACGTCGTTTGCGAGACAACTGGACAGTGTGAGCCGCTCAAGAAGCGGGTGGTCCGTATCGATCATGTAGATGCGCGGTGAAGGGACATAATCGATATCAGGCGTGTGAAGTTCGACGTCCACCCAACACTTGGAATGCAGCTGCAAGGTTCTAATAAGGGGGTAGAAGACTGTGGCGATTCCCCGCTCTGGGTCGTCCTCAGCCGGGATGAAACTGAGAGTAAAAGACAAGGGGGCGGATTGTGACCGCTTTAGCCACATTTCGAGGAGAGGCAGAAAGTTCTTCAGTTGGTCGTCAGTCTTTCCTTCAGGTTTAACGACCATGGAGAACCGTGCCCAAAGATTGGGCGTGGATAGCGCGACGGCTCGCCATTCACGGGAGGCTGCAGCGATATTCAGTGGTGTATCGTCACAGCGGGGCTTTACAAGGGCATCTCGAACAGAGTAAAGGAAGAACTCTGCGAGGAGCTCAGGTGGGACGCGGGAGAGAGCAGATCCAGATGGCTTCGAGGGTGCTGATTCCGAATCGTAAGGTGGCAAAGACATGTTAATGCCGTCGGCGCACCGTAGACAGTACTAGTAGCAATCACAGGTACGCATTAGCCTCAAAATTGACCAAGGAGCGCATTGGTGATGCTCACTATTCGAGGGCAGAAGAAGACCGGGGGGAAGGAATTCGAAGGCAGGACCAGTACTTATACAGAGCCCCACACTAGACTCATTGGCGCGTTCTCAACCTATTCGGTAACCATACAGCCAAATACAACAACATGGGAAAACAGAACATGAATATACGTACAAAAAAGATGCGACGGTACTACTCAGTCTGACAAAGGAACCAGAAGAACGTTCACATCCGAATCGTACCGAACAGCCTATATACTACGAGACGAATCCGGAGGCTTGAGTTAAGACCATAACCAATCATCCCAGTCATAAGAACATACAACCCTTGTCAGTCAATTCGAACGACAATTCTAACCCTCTCTCCACCCAGTCCGAAAGTAGAGCGCTGATAGATCTCTTGAATCCGAAGTAAATGTCAACTTTCGACCCCGAGAGCTCGTCGTCTTCAATCATGCGGAAATGCATCCTCCTCATTGGTGCGCATGGATAGAACGGCTTCTGCTTCTCTGGCTTCTCGAGATCGACTTCAGAACCGGCAGGATGACCACCCTCACCATCCATAAAAATCGTGAGGCATTGGATTACCTTCGTGAGGATGTCCGGATGCGAAAACGTATACCCCATCTCCATCGACAACACCACTTCCTCCAAAGCCGCCCCTGCACTCGGACCCCGTTCCCCCGTCTCTGGGTCGACAATATTCTCCATGCACATAGACAGACAACACTGATACAGCGCCTGGAAAATCGCGATATTTCCTTCGTCCAGATGCATCCCTATGCGTTTCAGTCCTGGCGCTGGGCCAAACCGCCGCCAAAACTTGATGAACATCCCGATATCACGATGGGGACCTTCGTAGCCTAACTCGACGGTCTCGAGCTTCGAGTACGCAGAATGGCGCTCGACGAACGCCGCGACGCCGGGGGACCAAGTGGCGTGAGAACAGCCGTGGAATGACAGAGCGGTGAGTGCGGGAGCATCGAGCGAGTCGAGGATCCCCGCAAGCACAATTTCGATGTTTGAGGCGACGTGTAGAAGTGTGAGATGGGGAAAGGTTATTCTGGTAGGATGGACGGCGTCGAGGAAGAGATCATGGAACCATGCCCGGATGTGGAGTTCCTTCAGGTGCGTAAAACGCGATAATACGTCGATGACCTCGTGAACGTAGGCAGGATCTGCGTCCTCATCTCGGATAAAGAGCGTGGTCAACTGAGACCAGGGGAGGGTGCAAAGCTGGAGAACGAACGTAGGGAGGAAGACGGACGTTAACCGTGGAGCGTTATTGGGCGAGAGCGAAATGTTGAGGTCGTTTGCGAGACAACCACACCATGCGAGTCGCATCAAGTGCGGGAGGTCTACATCATCTAGCCTGACGTTCGATGAACGCCCAGGACCGAGTTCGGGCGTGTAAAGCTCGATATCTGCCCAACGGTGGCTTTGCTGCGTGAGGGCAGCGACCAGTGGGCGGAGCGCTGTCTCAGATCTCCATAGCTCGGGCTGTGGCTGGTCTGATGTCGATGTAAAGCGAATCGAATAATACAAGTGTTTGTCTTTTGATCGCTCCAGCCATAGGTTAAGCAGGGATTGTATATGAGAAAGTTGGTCGTCAGTTGAAATCCTTTCGCATGGCCTGGTCAATGACATCCGCGTCCAAAGATCAGGAGTAGAGACCGCGATGGCTCGCCATTGACCACAAACCGCAGCTATATTCATTGGCGACTCGTGGCTGCGAGGTTTGGCTGGAACTTCTTGAACGGACCAGAGAAAGAATGCCGCTAGCAGCTCGGGTGGTGTTCGCGAAAGAGCGGATGGCGATCGATCGGCTGCTGCTGAGGAAGACATGATCTGATTGCTGAGGGATGTCACATACAATTCTTATAAGCAGGTATGTTCAAGACAATGTGCAGAACTTATGCTCACATTGCGATGGTGAAGAGACAGCGATGGTTCCAGGATTAGAAGCGTGAGAGTCTGGAGTAAGGACAATGGAAGCTCTTATCCTAACCCTATCGTAGGATGTCCGCCACAATGGCAGTGCCACTGAGTGGCAGAGTGAAGAAAGGTTCCGAGTACTTGCGATAGTAAGGAAATGGCAAATTCACCGTCAGCTATAGCCGAGGGGTGCGCTAACGCTAAGAGCACGCTCTGTACCAACAAAAAAAGGGTGATCTAGATCATAGTACTCTTCCCGCTGAGATCCGAGTCCAAAGGTTCATTTGGTAGAAACGGTAGTATTCTAATGAGGTCACTCAGTCCGCCGCCTGTGCGCTCTAGAAATAAGCACCCATATCCCAACCGGCGCATGGAAGGAAGAAAAGCAGGAAGTTACTGAACATTGTCAGTGACGATGCATATTTTGGCCTTCAGGAGCCATAGACATTGTGGTCGATGTGCAGGTTGACTTGACAGCTCAGAATCAGAGTCCAGTGCGTAGGGTGAAGACCAGAGCGAACGCGAATGAGAGTGCAAGTCAAGAAAACCATCACCCTAACCCTACATGTAACATGAGCCTCCGCGCGACTTCCAAAACACGACTCAGTGGCACAGCCGCGGGACATCACCCGGGGACAGGGACTGCCGATATGATTGTAGCCTTACTATGAATCATGGACGACTGCACAAATACTTCACGCTTTCAAGGAAGAGTAAAAGTCGATATCTATCTAACAGTACCGCTGATGGGGGTCGAACCCACAACCCCCACCTTAGGAAGGTGATGCGCTACCATTGCGCCACAACGGCATGCGCAAAGGGAATGAGTAATAATCTATCTCATGATTCTACTTCAACAAACAGCGCAAAATGCTGCAAAATGTCAACTTCTCTTCAACTTTCAGGCAACTTGAATTCATATGCATGAGTATTTCTTCCTCATCCAGCATTGATCGTCCTCAGCACCGGTGCACCACTTGGAGACTCGAGCTAGCTTTCACTGTTCACCTCTGCCTATCCTACGAGAACTAGAGCTTCGAACCCGCTTTCACGTCAAACTCTAGCTCCTCCAACCACCTTTCCACGTTGCCCGTCACCTCTTCCTTTGCTTCCACCATAATCCAATGCCCAATCCCATCGATCGCGACGTCCTTCAGTTTCGGAATCATCGCACGGGAGACTTTCAGGGACTCGGGAGTGGTGGTCGGGTCGTGCGTGCCCCAAATGTAAAGAACAGGAAGATCGTCGGGGAACTTTCCCTGTAAGTTTGCAGCTGGATGATGCGAATCGCATGTTTAGAACTGTGAAGAACAGAACTGGGTGTGAAATGTACCTTTCTCCTCGTCGAAGCGGGTTTTCGTTGTACGGTAATATGACAGGGGCCCGTTCATATTCTTCAGTTGTTCGGTGTAGTATTTCAGTTCCTGTAAATTAGAATGGCATCAGTCGTTTAAGAGGATCTGTAGACTGGGCAGTGGCTGGCGTTATACCTCGTCAGAGAGCTTTGGGCTGGGACCGGGTTCTTCTTTGTCGTCTAACACGATACCTCTCAGGTTACCCTCGTACACAAAGGACCGATCCATCTTGACGCACCCGAACATCAGTCCGAGGAATCGGGGGAGCTGTACAGGTGAGGGGATCATATGAGATGATTCGCCGTTAGGTGCAGAGGTGGGAAGTATCTCATACCTTGCTTTCAATTTCAGCCGTCGAACTCGAATCAGCAAAGTAAAGCTGATAGCCGTAGTGCGGGATATGCTTCACGACTTCTTGGAGAGAAAGGTAATTCGGCCGTGGCGGGGTGTACGGGATTGATAATCTATTGGAGTGTAAATGATAAGTAAGAACCAGCTTTGAATTCAGATAGATGAAAGAGAGAAGTGAGAAGTGATATGAACAGACGTACATTACGAGGGCCAACAGTCTCTCGGGGTGCCACAATGCGAATCTACCGACGACAAAGGCTCCCCAATCATGCCCGAGGACGATCTACAATCAAAGATGCAGCCAAATTCCAGGGTGACCTTGTCAGTTATGCACCGCCGTCATAAAGCATGTGGAAGCTTGAAGAGGCATACCGCACGGTCGACCTTGATATGGTCCAGTAATGCGCTCAAATCAGCACACAGTTTCTTCGTCGAGTATTCTTCCGCGCTCTCAGGTTTGTCCGTACCGCCGTATCCGAGCATGTCAGGCACAATGACTCTATAGCCTTTGCGAACCCAAGGCCCGATCTGGAAGCGCCAACCATACCTAAGTAAGATATATCATGAATCGACTAGTTCTCCGGAGGAAGGGCAGGGAAAAGCGATGACGAAAGCGCTTGCTAGAGATGTTAGTAAGGGTTCTGAGCTCACCAGAAGTCAGGGAAGCCGTGTACGCAGAGCATGGTGAGGGTATGTGCGGGATCATAGTCATCGGGCTTTTGGTCGATGTAATGATATGTCCGACCAGTGGAGAGCTTAGCAATCTCATGAGTGAAACTCGCTGGATGAGTGGGGTCCATTTTCGTAGTGATCTAAGCAGACACTAATAAAGGCAAGGTATTCCGAGAGTCAGCGCGATCATTCCATGAGACGGTGATGATGTAGGTATGAACCCAATATGAACCAAGTTAGAAACGCATACTAGGATCGAACGTCATAGAAATTAGCTAAGTGGCACTTACACTATCGTCTCAGAGGTCAAATGATGGATCTTCGAGACGAATAGAAATCCCTGCTTTTATACTTGCGATGTAGTTCGCTCAAAGCTTCCGGACGGCAACAGCAAGAAAGCGGAAGCACGTGGAAGACGACAACACTTTGCTGAAGTGTAGCGCCACTCGGCGAAGTCCGGGTCGTTATTTGCACAGGTTAGCTGTTGTGGCACCTCCTCTTTCTTGACGTCGACCACACGTCGATCACAGACATTTTCTGCAATCCGAACGCTATGGAAGTCGGACTTTTACCTTGATACTTGACATCTAGCTTCATGCATCCACGAAACCCGTACAGCTCCCCACCCGACTTCCAAAAACTCGCAGAGGCATACCCGTCTCTCCAGCCACAGTATGTCTGTCGTACATCGACTAAGAGGCACGAGACCCCAATACTAATAACTCACACAGCTTGGTGAAGACAAAGAACGAGGATGTTACGATTGACTTCCAGGATGAATCTTCGCAGAGGTATGACTCGTCAGATCGACTGCGGTTGTTGTATGTGCTTTGAATGTTTTTTTTCTTGATGCAGCGTAGGCGTCTCACGGAAGCACTTTTATATCGGGACTTTAATCTAGTAGTCACTATACCCCAGGATAGATTGTGTCCTACGGTCGGTATTTAATGATCCAGTCCGTTGCTTCAGAGACACGGCAAGCTCACGGTCATCTTCATCCCTTTGTAGGTACCCAATCGGTGAGTCAGCCAAGAGCAGGACGTTTCCGTGGATATACCATATGACGAGGTCCTTCGCTCTGCTGATATGTGTTCCACTTTACATCGTAGACTTAACTATATCCTTTGGCTCGAGGACCTCCTAACCTCGACGGCCCCACCGCAGATTACCTCTAGCGGTAACGGCCCCATTTCAAGCAGACAGATGAGTTGTCGAGGGATTGACATGTACGCCCTCTGCGGTTCTTTCCGTTCCATCACGAAACCTTGAGCTACGCTTATATCATACTTGGGTTTCTCGCTGAACGACCAGTGGACTAGGCGCTTCAGCGATCTACCCACTTCTAGCATGCCGAATCTCATCAAACTGGACGATGGTTGGGACAGGCATGTTTCTTCTGCTTTGTCCTCTCTTTACACTGTTCTGATCTCCCACATTACTCTTCATGTAGATATTGACGCAATGTCGCTGCAGTCAGCAGAAAGGAATATAGCGAAAAGTAATCTCACCTCTCGTATCTCGATTATCAAGTCACAAACGACCGCAGGAGCCACGATATTCCCGTCTCAACTGAGCGACTTTCGAGAATCCTGGTAAGATGTTCCGTTTGATAAGTCGGTATATCAAGCGTACTTACTACCTGCATACCTAGCTTCGATTTCACAATGTGTAACCCTCCGTTCTACAGCTCAAAGGTCGACGTTTCACGGTCCGCCCAGGGTAAATCCACGGGGCCAAATGCTGTGAGTTCTACCTTCCGTGCTGTGGACGTCTGGAGGCCAACCCGATTTAATTCTACTACCGTCGACTAGGTGTGTACCGGAGCAGACGTGGAGATGATCACCCATGGTGGTGAGGCAGCATTTGTGCGCAGGATGGTCCAAGAGTCGTTCCTGCTTCGCGACAGATGTCGGTAGGCTATCGTCTAACATTCTACTATGATACTTCGGTGAACTGACATTTGGCACAGGTGGTATACTTCCATGCTCGGAAAGCTGAGTTCTCTGGCAGAGATCGTTGAAGCACTGAGGGAGAATAAGGTATACAAGTTGTCTCCTTTAGGCCCAGGCGATTACTGATTGTCTTGGCTAGATCGATAACTACGCCATTACTGAGTTCGTTCAAGGTCAGACTCGTCGTTGGGCCATTGCTTGGTCATTCGGGGAGCTGAGAGCTCCTGATGTATGCGTTTTTTATTTGCTCTTCTTCTTCATATGTGTTCTAAGGGTCTTGCGAATCTTCAGACAATCTCTCGCATCTCGAACCCCACGGTGCAGAACCTCATGCCCTCGAGGACTACTCTGTATCAGTCCCTCTACCCTCCAACTCCTTCTAGCGAGTCAGTCATTGCCTTTTCGAGCACCAACCTTCGCGATACTCTACAAGGGGTCATCCGCTCTGTACCCGAACTCGATTTCAAAGCAGGCTCCTTCGTCTCGTCATCCGATTCCCATCCACCGACCAACCCTGTTCCATCCACCTCTCCACCCGAAACAGTCTACTCATCTATACCCTCCTCATCGGAACTTATCCCACCCCCCAACATCGCCACACTCTCATCCGCATCCACCTCATCCGACGGCTACTTCCTCATCTCAGCGCCCCGAAATACCTGGTCTCGTGCTGCACGAAGAGCAGGCGCAAACTCGAGGAAGAGAAAGCGTGATACCGCCGAGGATACGCAGGATGATATTAGTTCGAGAGAAGGTGGCGGTACTACGAATGGGGGAATACGGCCATCGGGGAGTTCGAATCCTCCGCTGGAGTCACCGATACTCGGATGTCGAGTTTTCTTGGTCGATAATACTGCCGCTTATCGGTCTACGGCATCCTCTTCGAAGAGCACGACCTCCATATCTCAAGAGGGGACTGCATCTAAGCCTAACGTAGAAGGCCCAGCGGAACGCGTCACGGAAACCGAACAGAGTGTCAAGGTCGGGTTTGAGTGGGTAAAGGGGAGGGATAGGGCGGTTTTCGAGGGGTTCGTGAACCACGTTGGGAGGAAAATGAGGGACGCGGTTGCGGGTCGCGACTGCAAGACAGGTGGATAGGGGCAGGAAAATGTTGTGCCGGTCAGATTTCCGGTAAGTGTGCCTCTGCAACTGTGCAATACTTTCGCTGAAACTTCGCACAGATTTGGCACCTTCATTGTTCTATCCCTGCCTTGTATCCACTCTTGCATGGTTTTATGCGTATACAAGAACAATCATCATAATGTCCGTCTCTTTCGTTGCCTGGCATGCTAAACCGTGTTGCATATTGTCAAGGCACTGCGCAATGTGACTTTACTCACCGTCCGACAACGCGAGGAAGAGCAGCAACTGGCACGCCGACCAGAAAATTCGTCCTTGCATAAGGCAAGACCAGCGTTCCGCTCCGGGAGGGACTGACGGGCATATCAGCGTGACTTGAGGTTGTCAATTTGCGCTAGTAGTATGTGGCGTGCGCGGGCACGGCAACAATGCTATATCGCGCTTGGACCCGCTATGTGATATGTGCACTGGCCTCCGGTCAGGTCTTTGGGGTGCATGTTCCCGTCGTCTCACTCTCCGCTATCTTCTTTATGCGCTTATGTACGTGGGACATATCAGTATGCATGCTCATACATCACTAATGATATCCTTGGACGGCTGAAGAACGTCGGGAGGAGCAAGATGTAGGGATGATTGAGACATAGGCAGAGACACGGATACGACATCCTTAGTAACGGCCAATGCGCCAGGGGCATCGGTAAACAATTTACAAAGCTACTAAGACTGAAGAGCGCCAAACAAACACTTTATTCCTAAACTGGTAGCCCATTGTTCGTGCCGTGACTAAACGCCTGCGCCGAGCTTGGCTGATCCCGAGCAGCACTGTTTCCCTCCGATCGTGCTGTGCCATCCTTAGAATATATAAAGCCCAAACCTGAACTCGCTCAAGCCTCCCACTCTCCATCCCGAACGAATATTCCACCTCTCGTCACTCACATTCTGAATTCATCTGGCAGTCACGGACCGTACCCTCTCACCTCCGATGCTCAGACCCACCCTCGCCCGCGCCAGGCTCACCTACCCCGCCGGCTCACAAGGTTTCTCCCACATCCCTATCTATAAATACCACACACTGCCCTCGATCCCCTCTGAATCCCATTCCCTCTCCAGGGGGACGATGCCCTGCCCAGCGCTCTCCCAGCTCTGGAACCGCGCCATCTGGCTGCTCACGCACGACGGGTACACGGCGATCCACTACGCTTCCTTATTGGAAGAATCGGGTGTGTCCGTGTATGAGGGGCTGTTCAAGGCTGCGGTGGAGAGGTTATCGGTGGGGAAGGAGCGGTATGGGTTTTGTTTGGTTGGGGGTGTTGGGAGGAGGGAATGGGGGTGTGTGGATGTGGTGAGTGTGGTGAGTGGGCGGAGGGTGATATGTTTGGATGAGGATATGGTGTGTGCTTTGGAGGGTGCATCTGAGCGTGAGTATGACCTTTCGTGGCTTCAAGTTGCACGATGGGATGTAATGTTGATAAACCCTTTCTGTCTGCGTAGATTCATCAAACTCTTTCCGCGTCAGCCTAAGTTTCTACATCCTAAACCTCCTCCTCTCTGCCACCTTCCAAATCCTCTTCTCCGACCTCCACACGGACAAAAAAGTCGTACTCAAAGAACGCAACACAAGAGAGCTCGATCCGAACATGTTCGAGCGGCAGACGAACGCCTTAGTCGTCGAAGAACGGCTCTGGGGCGGGAAGCTCTGTCTCGGGTTCCGGGAGGTCACGCCGCATGGGAAGATCAGTATGTGTTATGGGAGTATGGAGAAGGAGTGGGAGAATTTGGGGCGCGTTGCGGTGAGGGATACTGGAGCCACATCGGCCTCTGGTGTCGGTGTCGACGTAGGCGGTGGGCGTGCGACGCCCGTGTCTAAACCTAGCGGTTGGCGTCATATAGGTACGTTCTTCTTCATTCACCGCTCAATCATCTTGGTTGGACTGACCCCGTGCCATTGCGAACTTACTCTGTACTAGATCATCACCTCATGGAAGCATGGTTAGAATCCAAAGGGCCACTCCCACGATTATATGCGCGCGACGAAAGCGTTCGGGTCCATCGTGTGGAGAGTTGGCACGGGGATTGTTATGAGTTTGAGGTGCATGCTGTTGCCACTTTGAAAGGCGGGTTTGTTTACAGGGAAGGGAGCTCACCTCCGACTCGCCCCATTTCTTATTCTGTAGGCGCCTCGGTGTGGTGATGATTGGGTGGCACCTTGCTGACCCCTCGCCCCACACCCTCATCACTTGAACACCAAAGGTGCTAGTACATAGTAGCATACACGACTCGTACAAGAAGCTGTCTACGCTTGACGGTCCAACCATTCATAGATAGAAAATATGTGAAAGCAATCTGTGGCAGCATAATTAACTCTTTGCCGGTCATGGAGGACTCGAGAGAAGCACGAATTACTTTTTTAAGGCCACCAGTGACCACCCACTGTCCGAGTTCCTCGATTAAAACCTTCGTATTCTAAATCCAACGAACCCGCTTTTTCAGCGTCCTTTGCAGCCACTCTCTTGGCACAGTTCGTCGACGCTTAGGCGTTTGAGAAGAGATTCTTTCGGCGGTCCGAGAAGGTTGCATGTCAGCGAGGGGAGGAGTGGACCAGGGAGCGAAGTATCCAACAAGGGGCGGGGAGGCAACTCAATCTGGAAGATATATAGTCTCAAACCAGCCGGTCAGCGACACCCTAAAAGGGAACCCGCCCTCATTTGAGACTAGAAGATATACACGAAAGTAGATTATGCAAAAACTGACCACTTAAAAAGCACCGATTATGCGAAAAGCTAATACCGCTGATGGGGATCGAACCCACAACCCCCACCTGATCCTCTCCGAAATGTCAATAGGAAGGTGATGCGCTACCATTGCGCCACAACGGCATACTATTTATCCTTCACGGTACAATACCACAAGGTTCATTCGACCATGACACGAATTGTCCGCTCGAACAAACATCATAATCTAAGGCGGGCGATGAAGCGCTGAACATTAATGAACCGCGAACAAACCTATCGAATAAACTCAGAAACCGAAGTATCCACAGGCTGGTGGACATTTCGAGAGACGAAGCAAGCAAGCAGAAAACGAAAATGAAGGATTATATTACAAGCGAAAGCACCCTCAAACCAATTCGTCTACACCACGTCTCAACATCCCCACATCCTTCCACCCGCTTCAAAACTCCAATGTAAAGTCATACAACCTCCCCTCAAAACCACTCGGGCTTTCAAGATCCCGAGAGACGGATACCAGTAAGGCGTCATGAGTCGACCATTTATGCAGCCTCCACAAGCCTCTTCTCTGCCTCCTTGAAGTTGATGACGTTCCAGATCGCGTTGAGGTACTGTGTCGTTCATTCGTTCAAAGAGTTAGTCATACTGGCTTTCTGTCGTAGGGAATTGGAAAGAAACGTACGTCGGGCTTGACGTTCTTGTATTGGAGGTAGAAAGCCTGTATTCACGAAGAGCGTTCAAATTCAGAAGGTGAATATGTGCGTTCAACAAGCCTTGCGAACGAGAATACGTACGTGTTCCCAGATGTCGACGCCGATGATGGGGACGTGGGCTATTTTAGGGACAAGAATTAGCCAGGGAAGAAGTAAGTGCGATGGGCATAGACGTACAGATGAGAGGGTCCTGGTTCGCCGTGGTCACGATCTCGAGCTTCTTCGTCGTCGGGTTCAATCCCTACACATTCACCGCACCAGCGACAACAAACGATCAGCATCCTCATCCCTTATTCCCCTCGCACATCACAGTACGAAATACATAACGCGAAACAAGTACTCACCAACCACCCCCACCCACTCCCCTGAATCGCCGCCGTCGCAGCATTAAACTTCTTCTTGAACTCCTCGACCGATCCAAAGTCGCGCTCGATAGCTTTCTTGAGTTGGGAGCCCTCGGGGAGTTGACCCCCGCCTTGAGACGTCGGTGCGAGGTTCTTCCAGAAGAGGGAGTGGTTGATATGGCCTGTGGAACATCCACGACAGAGGTCAATAAACGCGCATAAGGCAATGGAGAAGAACGAATCAGGATGGATATGTACGAAAAGGACGTAAGTAGACAGATAGGGGCGAAAAGGAGTTGGGGAGAGAGGGAGTTCAAAGCGGGAGGCGGGAAAGCACGTACCACCGCCATTGAACTTCAACGCGCTCTGCAACTTGATCTGTTCCTTCACATCCGATGACTTCGCATAGGACTCCTCGGCGGCGTTGAGCCCATTGACGTACGTCTGGTGGTGCTTTGTATGGTGCAGAGTCATGATTTGCTCGGAGATGTGGGGTTCGAGAGCCTGTGCCGTATATATATGAGCCATGGTGAACATACAACAAGGAAATGACGAAGATATATGGATATGATATATGAGAAGAGACGTACATTGTAGGGATATGGCAGCTCGGGGAGGGTATGGATGGCGGACGCGCCTGCGGGGGCAGCGAACGAACGGGCGAGGACAGAAGGACGAGCGAGGGTTCGAGCAATAGAGAACATCGTGTATGCTATGCTTAAGCTGAAGCTTGAGTGTCGTTAGTGGATGTGTTGGCTGTTGTGGACGGTGCTGGTGAGAGGATGGAAAGAGTGAGTCAAGCCTTTTGACGACGTCGGAGACGATGAGTAAACGGACGAGCCAAGTGACGTCAGCGTCTGCCGTCTGCCGGCGACTTTTTCTCGAACACGAACGAACCAATCCGGGGCTGGCATTCCGTGTTCCGCTCTTGCCCGCGTATCGTCATGTTCATCTATCTTCCTCTTCGCCGTTGAGCCGTTGAGTTGCCGCGTAGCGTCTCTATCGTGGGCACTCTTCGTCCAGCTATAGTCTCTATGCGAGTGGTGAAATCCAGTGAGCAAGACACAATGGCGTTCGAAAATGGAGTCGAGCAGAGCCCCTATTCGCCAATGTTAATGTTATCGACCTTGTCTTTATCGACGTCATTTTGGTGTCGTTTAAGCCGTTGTGGCGCAATGGTAGCGCATCACCTTCCTACGTCAGTATCAGGTGGGGGTTGTGGGTTCGATGCCCATCAGCGGTAGTATAATAGTATGGTGATAACTGTTTTTCTTGGACCGGCGTTCAACAATACAACGATTGCAACCCGAATTCGAAGCAATAATGCACCCCAGACGATCTTCTCATTTCCTAGCCCACATGTCAGTGTTTGCATTGTCATCGGTTGGTTTTGTCGGCTTTCGTAGCTGCCTCCAAACTACGTCGACGATGATTTCCTTTCATGCTTGACTTTAGTCTGACCTGCGGTGGTAGTTCCTCAAGCTCGGTTTCTGATCCTGACATTTCATAATAGCGAGACATTCCCCTCGCTGTCGGGAAGATTTTGAGTCTGGGGATCACCTCCTGTGGCTTTCCTGTCATGACACCAGCACCAGAGATTTCAATTGACTACATAGTTTCTCGTTATGCACATCATAACTCAGATTACTTGACTTCACAGACCAGTAGCGGGTCCCTTCGCATTCAACGCCGTCGTAGCGCAATGGACCATGGTAGCGCGTCACCTTTCTAAATTCTATAGTATTATGTCTCGTAGACTTCAATACACGACATAGGAAGGGAGGGTTATGACGTTCGATGTCCATCGGTAGCACGCAAAGCGGTAGGATGTTGTTTGATTTTTGGATTTTTTAGGATCATTTTATTGTACTAGACGTCGCGCCGTACTGGTCTTCATCGCGTGCATCAAGGGGGTGGCACGCGTAAAATTCCTTACCGGATCTTACCTTCCGCGTTTAAGGCCTTACCCCCCTCCCCCCCTCCCCCCCTCGAATATTTAAATGATTTAAAAATGATTTATTTAATACCTTTCCCACAACATAAAAGATCGAAATGAAGGGTTGTTGTGGTATTAACTCATTGAATTTTGGTATAACCTAGCCTAAGGCTAGGGGAGGGGATGACCGACGTCGACCGTAGCTTAACCTAGCCTAGGCTAGGGGAGGGGATGACCGACGTCGACCGTAGCTTAACCTAGCCTAGGCTAGGGGAGGGGATGACCGACGTCGACCGTAGCTTAACCTAGCCTAGGCTAGGGGAGGGGATGACCGACGTCGACCGTAGCTTAACCTAGCCTAGGCTAGGGGAGGGGATGACCGACGTCG